CAAACATGAACACTTACAAAGTCAACCATGGATAAAATAACAAAAGCACAAAGTTCAATGGAAAAACAAATGTTACATGTGGAACTGATAGATAAAAAGAGGAACGCAATAAAAGAGAGTGAGAGACGTTAGAAAGGAGGTAGCAAAATTAAAATGGAAACTCGCTGGTCCCAATATCAGACAAAAAGACGACGGATGGAACAAATGTATCTTGGCTGGATACCTTGGGAGAATAAAAGAAGTGGAGGAAGACCCCAGATGAGGTATGCTGATGACCTGAAGGAGCACGCTGGAACTAGGTGGATGAACATGGCAATAGACAGAGAGAAATGGAGAAGAACTGGGGGAGGCCTACGTCTAAAGATGGACTGAAGAAGGCTGAATAGATAGATAGATAGATAGGTAGACATATACATTTTGCTGAAGATTGTTTTTCAAGAACAAAGCAAACACGGTGTGAAATATGCAAGAAAACAAATCATTCAGAAGATGGTTTCATCAGAAATAAAAAGCAACATGTACAAGATAACAGACAAGCAGGAAATTCAAAAAAAGTAAGAAAAATAGCTTTCTTGACAGAAAATAAAAATAAAAAACACTAAAACTGACATGAAATTTATAGTAGACTCTGGTAGCTCATCACACATGGTAAAAGACAAGGCCTTATATTCAACTATGAAAGAAATAAGTTAAAATGTTATGGTTGCTAAAAAAGATAGAAACATGAAAGCACTATAAGAAAAAAAAGTGTTGAAAGTACAGCATCTATCTTAAAATCTGCCTGATTTGTCTCACAGAAAATAATGGTGGAGTGTATTTTTTCAAGGATAAAGTTGTAATAAATGAAGGTGTTGCTGGTCAATCAAAATTATGTTTAAGTTGGTGCTGAGAACAAATTAAAACACAAAAGAGAAATGTGTCATGACAACCATGATAAATAGTGTGTGTCATTAGTTTCTTAAAAATCTAGAGCAGCACATTTTTAACTCCGATGTCGATTAAAGAAGTTTATTGAAACACACTGAAGAAAGAGTTGTTTCATCACTATCACAAGCTTCCTCAATAGAAGGATGAAGTTGAAATACAAAAAGGAAATAAAGAAAATGGCCTGTACGTTGTAAAACTAAACTCAGAAGATCAAAGACTTTTGGTTGAAGAAAATAACAATAGCAAAAGTTGGCATAGAAAATTGGGTATAATCCAGGAATTGTAAATATGAAAAAATTATGGGTATTATTAACATTAAAAAAAAATGACTGAGAACAAAACTGCTCCATTGCCCAAATGGATCAAGATTTTTCTGTTCTGTAGCAAAATCAGTGATCAAGGCTTCTGTAAGCCAAAGATTCTAACGTTGACTAAAAAAGATGGTAAATTCATTGCACAACAAACAAACAACAACAAAATGCACAGTTGACAACCAGAACCTATTTGATAATAATAATTATAACTAATACAAAGTTCACAAGCAGCGCAGGAAAGTTACGTTGGGAAAGCTCCCAACACATGAGTCAAGTGGTACCTTGTTTTAAAGGTATTTTGATTCTCGTCACCACTGCGTATTTTTTTTTTTTGAAAATCGAATGATTAATTCTCAAGATATTCACTGCCAAAGTCCCCCTTGAATACAAAATTGACGTGTCCTAGCGTTTTTTTTTTTTTTTTTAATCGACCTTAAAATACCCCAAAACGCCTTTGTTTCGATGTTCGTGAAACACCCTGTATAAAGCGAGACTAATGATCAGAGGTTTCGAACTCTATAATGAAACATTTAGTTCTCGGTTTCGCTGATAATATTGTGTACCAGTCTCCGATTTGGAGCTCTTGAGTTATTTGGGGAGTTTTTTTGCTATCATGTAGTCATAACAGCCAGATCCCAAATTTAGGCTACTCCAAAACCAACAAATAAAAATATACCAGAGGAGACGTTGGTCCGCAGACTATGAACTTATTAACACACATCTACAGCAAGAATTCTCCAGCATCACTTAACTATGAATCCCCAGAAGCCTTGTTTAACTCAAAAAAATTTTAAACACATTGAAAAAAAGAGAAATTTGTGGCACAAGAAATTGGAAAACAACTCTGAAAATGACAACTTGTACTACAGGAACCCAACTAACTTCCCCAAAACCAAGATAAAACAGTCTAGAAGGAAATATGAACAAGAATTGCTAGCCTCTTCTGAAAAGCAGTTTTATTCCTACATAAACAGATCTCTTGGTTCTATTACACATTTCTCACTTAGGAATGTAGCCACTTACTTCACCCCTGATGATGAGAAAAAAGTTGTCAATTTGTTTTTTAAAACAGTTTTAGAGTGTTTTTATAAGAGAAGATCTAATCCATATGTCCGACTTGGATCCTGATACATTCTGTAAATTGTGACTTTTACACCCGAGAAATTGGAGACTGCATTCAAATCACTGATGCCAGATTATAGTCCAGGAGACTATGATGGCAGGATGAAATCCCTGCCATTTTCCTGAACTGTCACTTTTTCTCTCAGCCATGATGAACAATCTTCTTAGGTATGGCAAACTACCAAGGGAATGGAAGAATGCAATTGTAGTGCCTACTTACAAGAAAGGCAACAAAAATCTGCCTGTGAACTATGTTCATTAGCTTAACAAGCAACCTTTGCAAATGCATGGAGAAGGCCCTGGTATCTGAGATGACTGGATTTTTGCTCGGAAATGGAATCATTCCACCTTCCCAACACCTTCCTAGAAGGTCCACTTCCACAAACCTGCTTACCAAGGCTCATGACTGAACAAGGGCAGACGAGTCTGGCTAGTCTGTTGATGAATTTCATCTGGATTTTGAAAAGTCCTTTGACAAGGTACTGTTTGGGCGGCTTCTTCCTAAACTCCATCAGGATGGTATAAGAGAACTTCTACTCAACCTCATCCAAGATATTCTGCAGGATCAGGATCTGACAGTTCTGTGCCAGGATAGAGTCCGTGAAGTCAAATTCCTGTGAAGTTTATAGTTGTGTTTCCCAAGGCTCAGTCCTTGGCTCTCTAGTCTTCCTTGTTTATATAATTGATCTGCCAAATAGATTGAGGAGTCAGATGTCCTCGTTTGCGAATGATAGGTACCTGTTGTTAGAGTAATCATGTAACGCAAAATGGAAGCCTCTAGAGGGACATAGATGCCATCAAACAGTGAACAATGACCTGACAAATGCCACTGAATAACTCCAAGTATTCAATTCTCCACTTGAGCAAAAACAACCCCTGGGCCCTTATTCTTGAAACAGAGGAGCAATGTTCCCCAGGAGAACGAGGGTTTCCTCTTTCCTAATGATATGCAAATGATAATATAAGTAACAAAGACGGAACACTCGTTCTCCTGGGAACGCTGCTTCCCTGTTTTAAAAATAAAGACCCTGGATGGAATACTTCAACCAGGTAATCTGTATTGCTGAATAAAGTGATTTGGGAATTGTTGTCATTGAAGCCATGAAGTGGGAAAATCATATAAATGGCATCATAAACACGTCGAATTCCGTGATGTAGGTACTTGATTTCCAAGGCATTTAAAGATCCCACACCCCAATTGCTTGTAAAGCTGTACAAGGCTCATTGAATAAGAGCCAGGAAATTTTATTGAAGCCATGACAGACAAACCCTACAAGTACTTGGAAATCCTCCAGACCCATAAAATAGAACATGAAGAAATAAAAGCCATAATATTTAACAAAGAATTCAGCATATAGCTATGCCATATCCATTCTTCAGTACTCATTCGTATCTAATGGTTAAATATGGACTCAAACGGATTTAGATGCAATAAACAGGAAGATTAGAATAGAGCTTACAACATACAGAAAGCACCATCCAAAAGCGACCATTGAAAGAGTAACTCCCTTAAAGACATTGTCGTTTAATAAAGTTTTGATTAACAATAATTATTCTCCCTCAATAATCGCTCACTATTTCTTAAGTTATCTTTGGTGCGGTTGAGCCTCGAATCCTAATATTTCCGCTAGGCTATTAAAATATTTAATTGGCGTTCCCTGATTAGTAACTGTGGTATGAATTTTTCAAATCACTGAACCAGGTAATGTCGTCTTTAAATTGTCTAGAAATTGTATCACATAGATGTGCGTGCAAGTTAAAACAGTTCGCCTTTTATTCACACCTATGTCGGTTTCTATAATCATTATTACAAGTTACTTTTATTTAACTTGTATATTAATGTTGTCGGTTTCAGGCGAGAAAATTGATGAAAATGTTTCAAACGTGGACTATTCAAGTGAAGCCTCAAAGTTAGTTAGTGAAGCGTATTATAATGATACAGCAAATGGAAAAGTCGAAGCTACATCGATTACCAATAAGATTTTCACTGGATTGTTTAAGATTCTAGGTTTTGATAGTGAGAAAATTGGAGCTATTGCTGTTAACGGACTTATATTTTTGGCCCAACTAGTAAGTAGTATTAACGAATTTTGCAATTGCATTTTCCTATCCATATTGAACCAAGAGTAAAAAAATCAAGTATACTACTAACCATATTTTTTTTCTAGTTGGGAACATCTTTATTAAGCAATACATCTAGAGCGTACGAAGTCAAAGAAATCAAAAACCTCAACTTAGAGACTTTAATACCGATCGAACTTGGTAAAATAACGAATCAAAGTCTCACAGAATATGTGATGGAATACGTAAAAGAAAGATTGGATGACGATAAGAACGGATGTGTGCAATTATTAATTTGCAAAATTGCTCCATTTGTTTGGAAAATGCAAAATTACTTTTTTAATAATGATACGAATAGTGAGAACGAGAATATTATATTTTCTTTTCTTCCTTCCAGAGCTGAATTATTGGAGCAGAGTCAAGCATGTGGAAATAAATACATTTGTTCCTTATAAATTTGATGATGTAATGATACTCTAATTATGAAAAAATAAATCGATGAAATGAAATATGTAGTAATACAAACCTATTTTCTCAGTCTTTCTGAACTATCAATTCAGGTCGAAACAACCTGGAAACGTGGCAACTGATAAAATTTATTAAAAGTCTAACATAAAATATTAAAATAAATACAACTATATAAGTTCCTAAGTAGGTAGGTATATCATTATTAATAAAATATGCATTAAATCAAAATCTAAGCGTTAAAAAATTATAATGAGATACTCCACAAAATCAATCATAATTTGGATTCTTCGAATTCCTGTCCAGAAAGAAAATAGAATTCTCCGATCGGACTGTATATGGCGGTATCTGAGTCTACTCCAACTTCCCTTTTGGTTTTAGCCTTCATTGTTTGGACGCAAACGAATATACTGAGGGTGCAGATCAAAGAAAGGGAGGCAATTATTATTAGCCAGCTGGGATGAGTTTTCAATTCTGTCAGCATGTCTTGTACATATTCCATATTATCTGCAAATAATAATAATGTTCGATAGGTACTTAAAAATTGAGTATTCCCTAGAGTCATTTCGAATTAGGTATTTAACTTAATTACCCAGTAAACACATCTGTTACATTTATGTAAAGTGTACCTATATAAATTCGGGATCATTTTTTTCACCAGCATCAGTTTTATTCCAAGTTTATATAAATACTATGTTAATTAATGGTAACTGTGTATATGTAGAGTTCACCTAAAATATTAAATTATATATTTACTTAGGGTTTTATTATCATATTAATGTGGCTTCGTATTCAAGATAATCGGTTTAGAATTTGATCTTATTTCTGTACGAGGCGATGGCTAGATGAAAATGACTGCAATATAGATCACAAAAATGGAAAAGCTGCAATATACAAAGGTAAAAGTACAGTATTTGAGGCAAATATAATTCATAAAATGTATAAATAAAGTTTCAATATTTTGCAGAAATAAGCTTTTGTTGTTAACAGGATAAATTTCTCTGAGCTTTGGCACGAACGTTTTGGACATCTTAGCTACAGCAATCTTCAAAATTTAGATAAATTATACAGTTTAGGGATTGGAAAAACATGCAATGTTGACAGTTGTGATAATATTTGTATTCGAGGCAAACAAACGAGGTTACCACACAAGCTGGAGAAAGTAAGAGGCGACTTCACATAGGTACCAAAAGCAGTCAGCACTGGAAAATTTGATAGTCAGATTTCAAATTTACTAAAACCTTATTTAGTCTAAAGTCAGACACATTAAGGATTTCAGAAGGTGGAATAATTGTGAGTTTTGAAATAGTATCGGATGGTGACAGCGAAGATAAGACATGTAATCAAACATCAGAGTTACCAAACAATGGAAGCAGTAAATACTTAAAATGTGGGAAAGAAATTATTATACCTGGAAGTTACACGGTCAGAACAGAATATTCTTCAGGCACGAAAGCAGGAGATGCAAAATGTATTTTTAGAATATAACGTGATAAAGAAGGTCAATAGGTATGACGCTAGAATTATGGCCAGAGGATTTTTGCAAAGAAAAGGGTATGATTAAACGGAGACTTATGCCCTATTAGCACATTTGACGTACGAGTGCTGTTGTCAATAGTAAATCAGGAAAATTTATTAGCTCACCAAATGGATGTGAAAAACGCATGTTCACATGGATTTTGGACTGAGGAAGTGTCATTAAGTTACCAGATGGTTTTGGAAATGAATCAAGCTAAATATACAAGTTGGAAAAGTCACTTTATGGGCTCAAAAAGGCTCCAAGAACTTGGAACCTTTTTAAAAAAGTTTGGTATGAAACCTACGGTTTGCCAATGAAAAGTGTCTCTACTACAAATGGAAAATAGAAGGCTATATTAAAATTTTTCTACTTGTAGATATACGTAGAGAAGAGAACTTTGACTAGTAATGATATTTCAAAATTAGAAGAATGTAAAAAAGTTCTCAGTACAGAATTTCAGATGAAAGATATGGGAAAACTTAAAAAGTTTTCTCAAAATAAAAATTGGAATATCTTCTGCAGGAAGGTATATTTTTGAGTCAGATACCCTAACTCAAAAATTTGCTAAAGCCTTTTGAAATGAAAAAATGTCACTCAATAAAAAGGCCGATGGAATTTGAGTATCAAGACACAGAAACGTTAGAAGAATCTGTCATTGATAATGTTGTGTACTCAACCTGATTCAAGTTTTGTTATTAAACTCTTGGGGAAGTAGCCTAGACAAGAAATCAACAACTGTTGTGAGAAGGGCTAAAGAACTTGAGGAATTGCAAGCAATCATAGGGGAGACGCGGTAGAGGAATACTGAATGGTTCACTGCTAATCAATTGAATTTGAATCAATTAAAAACGGAGATGCTCTATTTTGCTTCGCGCTCTCTCTGAGATGTTGAGTGTCCAGAAGCAATTAAGTTTCTGGAGGTACATGTCGACTCTTAACTGTTATAGAGTATTCACATTGATGAATTATGCTAAAGGCTTCAGCTTCAAGCGTTTATGCACTCAGAAGTTTGGTGAGTGTGGTATTTGAGAGAGGTTATTTTAACAGCGCGCATATTACGCATGTATCGAATCAGGGCTCGCCTATGCAATGTTGGCTTGTAGTCATGCGTCCAACCTTGGGAGCGGTTTTGGGCTTCAAAGAAAAACCATAAGAGTTCTTGTTGAGCTCCACTGTCGAACTAACTGTAAACAGAGTTTCATTCATTCAAATAATTTGACAGTCCTATGCCTCTATATTTTGCAATGTCTATGGCATACTAAAAAAACCTACAAGTATGAAACACATAGTATTATTCACGACCACCATACTCCAAAAAGAGACAACATATATACAGGATGTTTCAGGGAAAATAGTCCACCCTGAAAATCTTTGAAACTCCCTTCATCCCCTTACCCTCTACAGCCACCCTATGCATTTTTTTAAATGGATAGTGGGGTTGAGTGATTCTTCCATTAAAAGGTAATTTTATTCTCTACATGACCCTGTTTTTGTTTTTTATTTCTATCGGCACGTTCTTAAGAATTATGGATGAGGGAGTCTGAATATCATCAGATCATTGATTGTATTGAAGAAAATAAAAAGGTTACAATTATTAAATTAAATGTTGAAAAAAAAGATCTGGAGGTCTAGCAGGCCATCCATTGGTACCTCTCCAGCCAATCCATCGCCTAGGAAATTCTTCATTGAAAAACTGACGAATGGGAGCAGCGTAATGTGGAGGTTTACTAAAATTGATATTCAGACTCGTTCATGCATATTCCTTAATAACGAAACGATAAAAATAAAAAGCAAAAACAGGGTCATGTAGAGAATAAAATTACCTTTTAATCATGATACCTTGATTAAGTCATTTAAAAAAAAAAATGTGGTGGCTCTGGAGGGTAGGGGCATTAGGGAAGAGAAACGCGGGAATAAATCATAACATGCCCGCTCAACATTAAATTTGACGTGTCCGGCCGTTTTCAGCTAGAAAATTCATTTTCAAAGATTTTCAGGGTGGACTGTTTTCCTGGAAAACCCTGTATATAGATTTTCATAGAATTCATAGAGCGAAAACAATGTAGTCAATATTGTAAGTGATATTTAGTTAGATGCCTCGATATGTGTATTTATTTGTTTATTTATAAATTTCCTCCCGTAATTGTTCAAAATTTGAGCCTGTTCGGTAAATACTTGTTCTACTTAGGGTAGAAAACTTGACTAGTGTAAACATTTTTGTAATGTATTTGGCATGAATAAATATTGTATTCTATTGTTTTCTATTATATTCTTGAAGTTTGGTCAGAAAATGGCTAGTTCGTAAGCATCTAGTATGTTGAAGTAGGTAGGTACCTATATGCAATTTTAGCTCGACAAAGCATTAAAGCAACAAAGTGTTTTAATTTTTGTACCTGGTCCATGAGAATTTGACTGCAACCCCACGAGGAAGATTTTCAGTGAAGAACATTTTCACTAGTTTGCTTTGTAATTTTAGATGTATGTCATTCGGATCTGAAATGTTAGCTTATACATCGAAAACCGTATCCACAGTCTCTACTTTGCTAGTAATTATATTACCATTGGGTTTGGTTTTTATTTGATGGCCTTCCAAAGTTTAGAAGAAAGTTCCAGCTTTGAAGCTCAACGTCTCAAAAACTATATGAGATAAATGATTCAATTTTATTTTATCTTGAAAAGCATTTCTGATTGAGAAGATGATGATTATAAGCGATTTTGTGAGGCAATGTCGAATGATCAAAATTTTTCAGTACAAAGAATGAAAAAATCATTTTCAATTTTTTACACGCCCTAAAACCTCTAAAAGAAAAATCACGACAATGCTTTTCCACTAAACTTGATTCCCTCTTACGATTGGTAAAGTCAAAAGTTAAAAAATTTAGAAAAATCAAAATTGAAATTTTAGGTATAATAGGTAAATACTTAAATTCAACCCTTTCCGTACGGCGGGTTTTCCGAAAATTTGTACCCTACAGGGTCCTTATTCTTGAAACAGGGGAGCAGCATTCCCAGGAGAACGAGTGTTCCATCTTTCTCAATGACATGCAAATGTTAATATCAATAACAAAGACGGAACACTCGTTCTCCTGGGAACGCTGCTCCCCAGTTTCAAGAATAAGGACCCAGACGGAGTGTTTGACATTGCGGCACGGACGGGTGTCGACTATGTGCGACATTGAAATATTACTAATTACTTCAGCATCAGACGATCCGCAATGGCTATCGTAACTTATTTTTTGTTTTTTTGCTCTTGGAACGATCCCCGAGGGACCAGCTACATTCTCTGACGACATCTTGAGCCTTACTGGCACGAAAATACAAACGGATGTCGCATATGATCGACAGTGTCGATATGTGGCAGTCGCCCTGGACTTGCAAGGTGGCCGGATATCGCATATGATCGACGGTGTCGACTATATGTGGCAGCCGCCTGAGCGTTGAGCATACGGTGTACGCAAATATTGAGACACCAGTCTGTATGCCAAATCTAAAAATTGAATGCGTCGCATCCCAACCGACAGTCGTCCAGGAGACAGAATACATGCCGTCGACCATATGCGACAGCCGTCCGTGTGGCACATTTCCTCGGTGTCGCATAGGCTGCGTCAGCCGTACGGAAAGGGTTAAAGCTCTATTGGATGTTTTAAATACCTATGGAGTGCGAGGAGTCGTGTTGGACTCATTCGCGAGTTATCTTGGTGAAATAAAACAGACGCAATAATTAATGTTTTGAGTGACACTTTGAATGCGCAGATCGGCATACCACAGGGTACAGTACTTGGACCGTTACTATTCATAGTATATATACACTCCATAACTTCATTTATTATAAGGGTAGTGTAATTTCTTATGACAATGATACAGCAATTCTCTTCAAAAGGTCCTCCTGCCAAAGCGTCAAAAAAATAGCAATAGCTAGTCTCCTAAATATTGCAATTTGGTTTGAAACTTTCAAGCTGACTCTGAACATTACAAAAACCAACTATATGGCGTTTTCGCTCACTTCTGTCAATCCCCCGCCATTTACCACCCTTCAGTTGGGTAACAGACATTAGGAATGAGGTGTGTTAAATACTTGGGTGTCCTGATTGATAATCACCTCAAATGGAATAATCATGTTGAACGTCTAAGCAATAATATCCGTAGACTTATATTTAAATTTAATTTTTAAGAAATATCTTACCCAAAATTATTGATAACTATACTATATAAAGCGACAGTTGAGTCATTCCTAAAATATGGATTGCTGTTTGGGGTGACTTGTATGATAATTCATTTCAATTGAACATTGTTCAAAACTATATCCTCAAAGTTATCAAAAACAAATCTTAACTGTATTCCACATCACTTTTATACTGTGATGTTAGATCGCTTTATATACCTACTTACGGTATGCCTGTTTATCTATCAAAACCCTGATATTTTTTCCATTGTAAATCACCCACATAATACGAGAAACAGGACAAATAGACATCTTATTGTTATACGCATAGTCTCATCCATAGGTTAGAGTATTGTCAACTACTTAAGTAAATACCACTCTGTACATCAATTTTACTAAAGTGTGTCGACGAGTCAGCATTCATTTGGTATAAATACAGCTCCAAAATCCATTACCGGCAGACTAAAGCTAGTGCGAACTACCTCTAATGGGAAAAGCCCCTCTAGCTAACTCTCCTAGTAGTGCAAACTACCTTTAATGGGAAAAGCCCTTCTGGGAGTATTGAACGCCACAGACTAGGTCCAGTGCAAACTGAGAAAACGCCCTTCTGGACCTCTGTCTCAAAGCCAGCTTCAGTCTTCAGTCACGCCAAGTGTACAGAGGGCACATAATACAGAGTGGCCTATAAGTAGTACGTCCCTCCGTAGAAGAGACGTCATGATACCACTTCTAGGGTAATACTATTATTATTCAATACACATCTTATTATACCTATACTAAGCAAGTTTCTCTCTACCTGAACCCCATACCTACGCCCCCAAATCACGCTCCTGTTGTGACGTCCCAGGACGAAACGTATAGGGGTTCTGACAGTATATTGGAATTTTGTCAAAAGCCCAATTGTGTAACATAGAAATTCTTATGAAAACTGCCACTAGGGGTCGCGAGTTCAATTTGTGCCCGGTCCCTATCCTATATATTATATAGTTAGATAAAGTAGTTACGTAAATTTCTACTCTAAATTTATGTAGCTGTGTTTACTGGGTAATTATGATACCTAATTAACGTGGTCTAATTGTCTACAGTAAACAGATAAAATTGATAAAATAATCTTTACCGAGTAAGAAGGTACGTACTAAAAACGCTTTTAGACAATGTTTCAATAATTACTGACTAAATACATAATTAAATTAATTTTCAATCTCAATAAAATATGTATGTTTCAATAGGACTTACCTATAAATAGGTTTCCCAATAATAAACTAAATATTTAATAACTTTCCTTTTTACTTAACACCCACCCAACAGCCACAGCTTTAATGACTAAAATAATTAGTCTACGATGTGCATTATTATTAAAGTTTATTGTCATTTAAAAATAAATATTCTTATCATATTTATTAGTCACAGGATAGCAAATGGTTTAGCCGTAGTGGCAGATAATTTTTATCTTTTTTTTTTTTGTTGAAAACTAGCGCAAAATTTTTTAATGCAGTCTATCTAGATAACAATGTAAATATTATTATTTACCTAATTATACCTATAACAATAATCTTACCGTATCTCTACAAGTTCAAATGTTCGAAATTTTTTAGCGGTTTCTAATCTTTTTTATCTTATAGTGTGTTAAGTTAATTTCAATATGAAACCACCTACCTATACATGCTAAAAAAGATATTTTGAGATTTATGAAGTTTAGTCAAGTAGAAGCTTTTAAATTAATGCAAGCTTTTTGATGAGTTGAAACTAGATACATATAAATCTAGGTAACAAATTTCATTAAAAAAAAAAAAACATTTAGATTGATACAAATTTAATTAGTTTTAAAAATAGTCTCCAGTTCATGGCAAAGCTGATGTCTGCTATTCGACTTTGCCGCTTTCAGGTCGCAAAGAATTTGAACTTTGCAATTTGTATCACATGAAGGAGTCACTGGTGAATTTCTGTAATAATTTCTGCAAAAAAAAAAATCAATGTCAGTCAATAATTAATATTTTTAAAAATTAAATAATAAATCAATGGGTGGTATGAATAAAAACGAAGTACTTTTTTTACTACCACAAGTATTAGTGTATGCTATGCAGTATTTACTTTAAAAAGAAGCATTTACTAATTTTCGCTGGTTTCGACATGTAGTATCTACTTCGTTTTTAAGTAAATACTACGGAGAATCTACTAATACTTGTAGTAGTAGCAGATATTTCGTTTTTATTCATACCACCCAATGTCAGTCAAGTATTAATATTTTTAAAAATTAAATAACATAATTCAGGTGAATGCGCTTAGGCTTGAAATATATTATAATGATCATCTTTTTATATTCTGTAATTATGAAAGGCTTGGCCTTTAGTTATAAAGTGATTTATATGATGATACAAAATATTTTTTGAGCAATGCTAATAAAATATTTGTGAAGATACAAAAAAGCAAACACTAAAACTAAATTTAGAAAATGAAACTAAGGAGCAAACAAGTATAAATAAAGAAAACATGAATAATGACAATGACTTTGGATATGAAGAAGAAAATGCCATAAAAATGAAGACATTTTGAAAAAAAAAGACACACAAATAAATTTACTAAGAATAAGGCATCTCAACGTATCGAGAGGCAGTTAACAGTCCAGAAAAAGAAAAAAAAAAAAGTTAGAAGCAAAAGGAAAAGAAAAAGTGGCAATGAAACTTGACATTTTGTTGATCAGTCAAAAATCAAAGAAAAAAAAAAGGAAGTAGGTGAGGTGTTTCAGTTAAAAAATGCAATATATCTACATACCTATAAAATTCTTCAAACCTTTCTTCGTTAGTCACCATATTGTCTATTAAATTATTCCATTGCTCAGGTCTTAAACTTGCCATCCGATAAGCCTCTTTGGCGGAATATAATTTATACCACAGAGGTTCGTTGTTTGGTACGTTGGCAGTTTCCAGATCGAATGTCCATGTTTCATGATCTAAAACTTCCTACAAAAAAAAAGGTGCAATCCATATTATGTATTTATTTTTTAATATAAATAAACATTCAATTACTTGCCCTTGTGGAGTCTTCATGATCTCCATCGATATAATATATTCGATAAGCTGGATTGTAGTTTGTGTAGGTCGTTACAGACGGTGCCAAATATGCTACTGCTGTTGGTCTACCTAAATAGGATTATGTAATTACAATTATTACTGTTCATGCAAGCCAAAATATCGGTTATTGTTAAGATTTTCAAACCATACAAGCTCAAAAAAACTGGTACCTTGGTGGATACGCGTGACTAGCGCCATGAAAAGGGAACCACTACGGGAGAACCAGCAAGGTGAGGTACTTAAAACTTTTGTATTTGTTTGGTCTTTACAGTTCGTGAATCAAAAAACTTAATCTAATTATTTTTCATATCAGCACATGCACAATCAAATTTTGTTACAAAATTTGCAATATTAATTTTGGTTAATAAATAATATCTTAAATAAAATTATATTTCCAAAAAAAAAACAACATTATTACACAAACCAGAACCAATTATAATTTGCTTCAAAAATCATTAATTATCTTATTGTGGGCCAGCCAGAATCCAGACAAAATGTTTTGCAAATGTTTAGAAAACGTTAACAAAAAAATTCTTCCTGAAAATGTTTTTAATAAGTTTAATATCCATTTAAAAATATTTTGTAGATATTTCTAAATATATTTTTTAAACATTCCCAAACCAATGTTTGTACTAATATAATGGGTATTGTTTTTATTCAATTGATTATTTGAAAATTTTTTCTACAACTACCATTAGTACTAAGATTATATTAGTAATCCGTCACCTGTAAATTTCAAGTCAACAATGTTTTTGCTTTTCCACCACCTTTTCCGTTTATTCAATGCATCCCTCTTACTGTATTCGGTAGTCTCGTAAAAAACTTCGAATTCGTCGGCGTGACTGTGACCGTAGAATAACGCCTTTATGGTAGATTCGTAACGATGTACAATCTCATAGAAGTTTCTCGACCAAATTTTCATGCAGTCTGAGCTTCCAGGAGCAATGTGACCTGGAAATAATGTATCTATGTAAGTAATGGGTTTTTATTGTCTAATGTCAACAATATGAAACAGGGTTGGGGGCGACTATACCTATGATATGAACTTTTTCTCCCTTATTTTCCGCATGTTGCAATTGATTTACGAGCCATTTTAGTTCGCTTGCTGGATCGGTACTGTTAACAAGAAGCCACCTAAAGAATACAAATAATTTTTGGTTAATTGATGAGCTTAGATTTGATCTAGAAATCTAGTATGAACTAGGTGATGCATTTCTAGAAGATGTGCTGTTAGAAATACTGGAGAAAAAAAAATGCAAAAATTTAATGTCCTTACCAGCTTAAAGAATGACAATAGTTGGTATTGATGGAAATCAATCGAAAACTGGGCCTGAGCAGTACCGAATAAAACGCTCCACGGTGCACTGTATTGTTCGTAGCTTGAGGCAACCATCTGGACCACGATTTTCCTAATTCGTTGTATATCCAAGATGTAGAATGTGATGTATCTTTCATCCATGGAGGTGCAAAGCTGAAAATAAATATTTTCTATAATTCATCTTTATCCAAACGAGAAAGTTTGAGATAACATTACTTTCCGGATGGACTCGCTTCATGATTTCCTATTGCCGGAAATATTGGTGTGTCTGGAAAAGCTTTAATAACCATTTCGATGGTGGTCCTGATTACGTTAAGATTGTATTCTTTGGTTTGATTCCATATGTCGTGTGGAGGTAAATCTCCTGTCCACAAAATGTAGTCAATATCCTTTAACATTTAAATTAAATTAATGATGATAATAAATCCGACAAAAGTAATTCAAATTCCTTATACTGTAGACACTTTCATGAAAGCGTTAAATAAATATGAATACGATGTTTTTTTTTATTAGCATATCGAAAACGTGAGATATTCCAATTAAACTTATTACGTGGCAAAACGGGCACTGCCACTTTGTTACCCGCAAAACGTAAGGGAGAAGTTAATGATAAGATTTTGAGGAGGTGGGAAAGTTAATGGGTAACTAAAAAGAAAAAAATAATAAAAAGAGAAGAGAGAGTTGGTTGGTGGCTGAAATCTAGAAACGTGATTTCGTGTAAAGGGTTGCCGACTAGCTTCCAATGCGGAGAGGGGGTGGGTTAATTAAATAACTAAATATAGAGCGCCACCTGCTTTTTCCCTGCAGTACACGAAATCAACCGATATAACGAAAGCAGGAAACTTCTACGGAACTATAGCAGCACAACCTGAAATATAAACAAGAAGGAGGGACAAAAGTGAAACGCTTTGCTACAATCAGGTACGGGTTTTAATTAGAACTAGAACAAAAAAGGTTTGATTCCAGAGCAGCTTCGGAGTGGGTTTTCCGACCGCCCTAGAACACTGAAAATTATTTACATACTGGAACCAGAACAGAACAAGAAAAGAAATCGTCTAACCATATGTTCTTAAAATAGTATTTACAATAATGATTAATTACACTCAACTTGAGTCCCTAAATAAAGAAATAAAAAGTATAACAATTAACAGCAATAATACCTGAAATATAAATAATCAATAGACAAGCTTACTAAATGCAGTACCTTCGTAAATGGCCATTTAACCCCAGTGTACAAGTATTTACCTGTGCAGCATGTAATTATGGGATTGTTATTAGAGAAATATAAATCAATAATTAAAGTTGAAATAACAATAAATAGCCTGAGGGGCAAATTTAATGTTATGGAATAATATAGAAGGTATAGATAAATACTTAAAATTGAAGTACCTAATAGTACATAACCTGAATTTCATATAACAAAGGTAATAATTAATTGAAACTGAAATAACAACATTTAATCTGAAGGGTAATTTAATATTGTAGTGGAACTGCGTTGTTGTCGTGATTTACTCCAACAAGGGGTTGGTAAGGTAAGACAATACAACACACTTATCAAACCTGAGTAGTCCCTAATCTCTTGGGAAAACCTGACGGATGGAATTAATATCTTCCAGTGTTTCCGATGGCCTGGGACTGGATCAAGACCGCAACAAGAAGCCACTGGCCCTGGGCACTGAAGTTCAGTAACTAGGAGTCACTAAAGCTTCCAATGGTCTAGAGGAGGCTTAAGATTGGAGGTACTACTTGAAACACACAGTAAGCTCAACGTTTAACTCTTTACTCAAGTTAAGGACTAAGCGTGACGAATAAAAGGTGACATCTAAAGGTAAAGATTAAAGGCCTGAAACAAATGGACATTATAAGACAGGGAGCAATAGGTAGGTATGTCCAATATTCGGAATTTAACCATATAATTAACAGAAAATTATGCTTTTACACAGGCAATAGAGAAACACAGAGAAGATTAATAAGAAAAACCACTTACCAAAATTACTTTGGCCTTTAGGAACAAACAATTGGTCATGTTGCTCTTTTTCGACTCACAAAAAAAAATCCGCACAAGGCGATTGGGTGCTAAAATAACGGATTAGCCACCCTAGATCTATGAGCGAAAACTAGACAACTCAGAAAATCGGCAAAATGTGCCTGAGGAATTTTCCCGAACACTTAATCGTGAAAAGTCCTCGACCTGAATGACCTCTGCTTGTCCCTGCAATGTCCTTTAAAAAGTCTCTGTCAAAACTCCAAGGTGGAAGGTACTCGGGATTTTGATGGTAGTTGGGGCATGGTACTTATTCAAATTAAGTTAGTACCGGTCACTGACCCTATTTGGAGCGCTGTCAATCTAGTCAATCTACTCGGATCAGACAATCAGCTGTTCTAATGTAAATATTGTAATTTTATTTATTAATAAATTAACTGACTATTTATTTTAACCCTACCAAAAGGAAATCAATTCCATTATTAAACCTCTAACTTAATAATTCTGGGAAGAATGAAAAGTTTAATGAAAAGTGTGACCACAATTATCGGATAGAAAACAGTGGCTTGAGGAAGGTATGCTATTCAGAGAGGCGAATAAGCTTATTTCCTTTTATTTTGGCCCGGGAAAAATCATCCCGTAACAAATTTTGCTCTGGTTATAACAACATTCAACTTTAGCTTTACTTAATATTTTATGAGAAACAGTAACTCATAAATAAAGGTCAAAAGATAGCTTTTACCATCATAAGTTGATGGATATATCAGACTTAAAGAATCTTCCATAATTATGTGTTAAACTCCTTTAGTTTATCCCCAACTGCTGATCTGTCTTTGCTTTTTCTTTCCCCCAACTAAAATAAAATAAAACAGAAATGCAGGTTTCCATACAAATTTTATGGTTATGCGGCAAAAAAAGCCATAAAAAAGAAGACTGTCCTAACAAAGACCGAGCTAATGTGACTGAAAAAGATGAGGATGACGTATGTTTCATCACGGTGGAATCAGGAGAAGCATTTTTGAGTCATTCTTGAAAAATATCGCATACGAAATTTGATCCGAATTGGGCTGACAGCAATGTAAATTGAATGGGAAGCGTTCGAAATCATCATTTCGTATGCGATATTTTTCAAGAATTGGGCCCCAGACTAGACAGAAAATCATGATGTAGAATTTGTCGTAGATAGTGGTGCGACAAACCATCTGGTCAGACAAAGGGAAGAGCATACTGGAAGCAAAACAAGGAAACTTTAACTCAGAATTATGAGAAAGAAGGAAAATTGTGATAAAAGATGTCATACAGTGTGAAAATCTTTCCCATAACTTGTATGCAGTAAGAAAACTCGAAGAACATGGTTTGAAGTTGAATTTGAGAAATCTGTCAAAATCATGATCAGAGATATCATGATGAATCAAGATGAAATAATGAAAGGTAATATCCATTCACAATCCGATGTCCACAGGTACAGGTAAAATTTATCACCTTTCAATGCTATTTGATAGGGAAAGGTGATAAATTTACCTGTACCTGTGGACATTCACACGGATTGTGAATAGGATATACCTTGAGAGGGAATTTGTACAAATTAAACTTCAAGCTGACAAGTAAACAAGCAAATTTGACATCAAAGGAGCTTGATCAACAATCACTACCTAGAAGAATGGGTAATTCTTGGCGATTTCCAGTAAAAACAGTGTGTGAAACATGCCTTGAAGATAGAATTATTTTTCAAGTTGTTGCCAGAAGAAACAAAGCTAGAAAAATACTGGAACCTGTATCCTCAGATGTCTGTAATCCACTAAATCCTACATCACACAACGAAATAAGATATTTTGCGAGTTTTGTCGATCATTTTTCACACTTCACTGTTGTTTACATGATGGCACAGAAAAGTGATGTTCAGAGAAATTCAAGCAGTATTTGGCAGCAGCATAAGCAAAGTTTGGTTGTAAACTTGAGAGGTTACGCTCTAACTGTGGAGGAAAATACATATCAAAAGATTTGGATACGTTTTGCGAGAAAAGAGGGATAAAAATAGAATAAACTATTCCAAGAAATCCACAGCAAAACGGTATTGCAGAGCGATTTAACCGAACGGTATTGAACAGAGCAAGATATGTATGATCTATGACTCAGGAATCGATAGGTTATTCTAGAATGAGGCCATCAATCAGCTGTTTACTTGACAAACAGGACACCCACCTCTGTATTGTCAAATAAAAAACCCCCTGCTGAAATCTGGTATAGTGTGAAGCAAGAAGTTCATGTTCCTAAAGAAGACAAGGAAAATGGCTCTGTGAAGTAGGCAGGAACACTTAAAGCCCAAAAGTTAAATTTTACGTTATCGCTTAGTATTTCATTATTGCTTCAATGTGCTTCAATCCTTAAATTAGCAACTCTTGTATTTTTGGAGATATTTCGGTATTTTGAAGTCGCCTGCTCACTTCACACCCAGTAGAAACAAGGGAAACACCAACGTTCAGTTAGAGATAAATAGCTAGTGCTTCGTGAGTGCTTCAATGTCTTCTAATTCCCAAAAAAGCAACTCATGTATTTTCGGAGATATTTTTCGATTTTTTGAAATTGCATGCTCACTTCACAGCCAGCAGAAAAAAGGGAAGCACCAACGTTCAATTACAGATAAATGGTTAGTGCTTCAATCTCCAAATTAGCAACTCTTAAATTTTCAGAGATATTTCGGATTTAAGCATACTTACTTCACACCCAGAAAGAACAAAAAAAGCACTAACGTTCAGTTACAGATAAATGGTAGGTGCTTCATCAGTGCTTCAAGCCCCAAAATAGCAACCCTTGGATTTTCAGAATATTCCGGTTTTTAGAAATTGCCTAGTATTAGTTCACACATTGCAGAAACATTGGGAACGCCCACCAAAATCCCAAAGCGTATAATAAAGATGGAGAAAAAGTTCAGATTCAAAACACACGTTCCTCTGATTCCCTAGTTCAATGCTTCTCAACTATTATCTACGATTCGAGGGATGGCGTTCAACAATTCAATATTGCTGAAAGTGAGCCACCTTTCTATTCCTTCCTTAAGGAATTTTTGGAATATGGAGCAATCTCTAGAATCAATCAGTTAAGAGCTGATTTGCTCTATACAGAACTACTATGTTCAAGAAAACTACTTTGTCAAAATGCTCTACTATACTTAATTTTATACAGAATATCTACGACGTGACTGACTGCTTCATTGATAGTAATATATTTATTTTCAAAAATAAACGCCTTTCTCCAGAATGTTAATGAATTTAACGGATCTTTTGAAAAGAAACTAAGGCCCGGTTTATTTACCTACTGATAAACCATCAGGTATATTATCTGACGGATAAAAAACGGAATCTTTAATCCTATTGGCATTAACCATTAGTACTGATCCATAATATTATAGATGATGAATTTAACGGATCTTTTGAAAAGAAACTAAGGCCCGGTTTATTTACCTACTGATAAACCATCAGGTATATTATCTGACGGATAAAAAACGGAATCTTTAATCCTATTGGCATTAACCATTCATCTACAACTGCTTTCCATGTTCCTGCTGGGTGTAAAGTAAGCAGGCGATTTCTGAAAAACGAAAATCTCTGAAAATACAGGGGTTGCTAATTTAAGGATTGAAGCAAATTAAAGCACTAATGAAGAACTAGCCAATCATCTGTAATTGCACGTTGGTACTTCCCTCTTGTTCCTGCTAGGTGTGAAGTGAGCAGGCAATTTCTAAAATCCGAAATTTCTCTGATCTGAAAATGTAAGGGTTGCTAATTTGGGGATTGAAGCACTAACCATTTATCTGTAACTGAATGTTGGTGCTGGTGCTTCCCTTGTTCCTGCTAGGTGTGAAGCAAGCAGGCGATTTCAAAAAACCGAAATATCTCCGAAAATACAAAGGTTGCGTATTTGGGGATTAGAGCGCATTGAAGCACTAACAAAGCACTAGCCATTTATCTCTAACTGGACGTTGGTGCTTCCCTTATTCCTGCTGGGTGTGAAGTAAGCAGGCGATTTCAAAAAACCAAAATATCTCCGAAAATAAAAGGGTTGGTAATTCGGGAATTGAAGCACATTGAGCACTAACGAAGCGCTAACCATTCATCTGTAACTGAACGTCGATGCTTCCCTTGTTCTTGCTATGTGTGAAATAACTAGGCGATTTCAAAAAACCGGAATATCTCCGACAATACAAGGGTTGCTAATTTGGGGATTGAAGCACTAACGAAGCGCTGAATGATTACTTAAAATTTAACTTTTGTGCTTCAAGTGTGCCTGCATACTTCACAGAGCCAAGAAAAATTAGGTGTTTGCAGCAAGAAAATGTTAATGATGAGATATACAGAGAACGGGTGTAAATTGTGGAATTCTGAGAAGCAGAAAATAGTGACAGCTAGAGATGTGTTCTCTGATGAAGAGTTAAAAGACAGGAGAACAGTCTGAATAAAGACAAGAAATTGGACCAGAGAGAATGATCATAGAAAATGACAGTCAGATAAATGCGAAAACGAGCAAGCAGTCATAGAAAATGAGATATAAGAACAAAATGAATGGGAAGATACTGAAAAAATCTCATAAATAGAAAATGATAACCCGATTAGAGAGGGAAGACAAATCAGAAGATCTCGAAGGTTGGATAATTATGGACTTAGATGAAAGCTTAATGGCAGCTTTATTCATTGAAAATCTGGACAGCGACATACCCCAAACTTACTCTGAAACTATATCAAGGGGAAAAGGGTGGAAAGAAGCTAAGTTACGGTAAAGTTGTTCAAAAAGCACGATAAGTGGCCGGTGGTTTGAAGCCATCAAAATCCAGTTAGCTTAACTTAGAAGTATATTCCCCGGTGGCGAGTATGCTGACTTTTAGACTGTTGTTTTTTTTATCAGTGGAAAAACTACCTACTTGATTAACCAGCTTGACATGAAGTGCACTTTTCTGAACGGTGATTTGTCAGAAAGAGTCCACACTTTACGGTTTGCGGGAAGTACCAAAATGTTGGTACGAGAAGTTGCATAACTTTTTTCTAACTTTGAACTTTCAAAGATCAACATTCGATCCGTGCTTATATTTTGACTCTGATATAATATTGGTGGAGCATTTTGATGACACACGGACATTATTTTGTATATCTGATTTGAAGCATGAAGCAAGAATAACATCATAAAAAAATTTCAAATGAGAGATCTGTCACCAAAATCACAAAAAAACTTTAATGCAAAATTCTTGGGCTTAATAGTTCAGAAAACAAAAACTGGTTTGTTTATGAATCAGAGAGAATTGATTCAGAAAATTTTGTTCGAATTCAATAAGTATGTCAGATTGCAAAGTTTCAAGTGTTAGTATGCAGCAACAATTGTGAAGAACAACAGTCAAACATCCCTTATCGTGAATTAATAGGATGTTTGATCATGATGAGAACTAGACCAGCTATAGCATTTCATATTTTAGCCAATTTCAAAACGGGTTTTCTACGCAACATTGGAAATATAGTCAAAGTCTGATTACCTACTGCTTACGTAGATGCAAATTTTGCAAATTCTATTGAATATAGAAAAAGCATTTCAGGTTTTGCAATAAAGGTTTTTGATAATTTTGTTTATCGGAAATCCAGAAAACAGTCCACTGTTTCTCTCAGCAGTGCAGAAGCAGAGTATGTTGCACTCACTGATTGTTTGCCGGAATGCATTTTTGTTGCAAAATTGTTAAGTGAAATCTTAAACCGTAATGATTTTCCTATGCAAATATTTGAAGACAACCAATCCTGCATAAAGATGGCCAATACTTTGGAAACTAAACGAACGAAGAATATCGATGTAAGAAATTATTTTATTCGGGATTGTGTAAGCCAATAGAAAGTTATGCAAATGCTAAATAAAAATTAAAAAATTTTGTCGACAAGCTCTGACTTATCTAAAAAAAGTTTGACATGCAGGACTTCTGCTTAACATTTTAGGAAATGAGGGCTTACTTTCCACCCGGGGAAAAAGTGAGCACTTGCCACCCGGAAGGAAAGTAAAATTCAAAAAAATGTCACTTTCAAACTTTTGAAAGTGGAAGCCTATTGGAAAAGTTGGGATGAAATTGGACTAACAAGCAATCGATAAATTCACTATTAAACCTAATATGACTTCGTTGAAAGATTGATTTAAACAAATAATCCAAAATAATAATACTTACAGGATGTTGCATGGCAATGTTTTGCAGCATATTTTCCAACAAAACTTTTGGGGCGTCGCATTTTTCATAGGAACCCCACCTAATAAATCGTATAAAATATCCAATAATAAAATAATTTTATTAAAAATCACCTGCCAGCCGGAACTAAATCTTCCTTTTCTCTAGGTGTGCTATACGTTCTGCAACATATCGGTTCTTCACAGTTGGCACTTGCACCTTCCACATAGTCCAGATCGTAATGAGTATCGGATATTTGTAAAACTTTGAAAGCCGGCTTACCAATCTAAAAAGTAGAGGATCGATGTAATGTTCAATCATTAACACAAAAATTATATTATATAAAATATCATGTAATTTTATTGTCCACATAAATAGTTTTCTAGATGAGTCTAGCCTAGTTACAACAATTTGAATGTGAATAACTTCAATAAAACAAAATAACAATAATACTTTTTGATTATTAAAAAAGATTATTTACATAATTTCTATCAGCCTGGTATGGTTCTTATTCACAGAAATTAGACAAAAAACTATATATTTTTCATCATTATAAATCCATTTGGGAATTTCTAATGTCTGTTTACAATTTCCTTCCCTGCGACAATAATATTATTTCTAATTTAAAATGGTACCTATTTGTAAAAATTTATGGTGCACAAAAACCCAGCTATTTCTTACAGATTTTAGGTACTTATAAATCTAAACTTTTGTAAAACTTGATAATTACTAAATTCTACAAACTGTAATTTACAATACCTACTTAATATATTTCCGTTGAATGTCAGTTCGACGATGAAAACTATCATCAAAACAATGTCGATTGTGGTGTAATCATTTTGTATTATTAAACAAATAACATACAATTACTATTTATTGTATATTCGGAATTCTTTGTTTGAAATTATATGTACATGTATGTGCATTGTTGAATTTTAAATATTTTTATTATTATTATTAAACTAGCCACCGTGCATATAAAATGATCATTATCAATAGTTGAAGAAGGTTATTTTTATTTGTTCCGTATGATAGAGTGTATCAATAACTAACTTATATGCCATAGGGAAATGTTTATTGATTAGTTATTGTTATTTCCTATATTGTAGATATAATTAAATTTATTGCAAAAAATATATATCTATGATTTACCTTTGGTAAAGGCTCAATTTGCACAGGAGGCTTCGGAGTATCTGGAAAATCTATATTCCATTCATGCGACGCAACTTCTGATCCGGTACAAGATTCGCCAAATACTAATTTACAAATCTCTGAGGGTCCTATAATGAGCCAATAAAGTAGAATTTATTATTATCAAGTTTGGAAAAATTATATTTCAAACAAATAACACAATCTTCTACTTTTATGTGATTTATGAATAAAACATTATTATTACACTTACCGATTGATAAAATTTTAAAAACTGGCAAAACTTCTGGACCGTACGTGTCAAAAATACCACTACATACGTTCAAACTTTCCACTTTGAATGCGACACAAATTTGAACGAATTTTGCTTTGATCTCGTCAAATGGGATTCCACTTTTTATTTCCCTATAAAGAAGACCTGCTCCTGCAAAAAATTAAACAAACATGTTGATGCAATAATTAAATATTAAATGATTATAAATAGTTGAAGTTTTGGAATTATATTTAAAAAGGGTAACTTTGAGCAAGTGAGTACTTACCCAAATTGCACACACTACAAGACATTTTTGATCTCATAATGTCTCCGGTAATTTTCATGCCTCTAGATTGAGGTAAACTGTTTGGTAGTGTAGCAATTCTACCAATCCCTTCTACCTTTAAATCCTGCAATAAATCGATTTTTTTTTGTAAATTACTAGTTATTTATGGTACTAGTGTGTTATGTTAAAGATAAATCACGCGAGAAAAAATTATATTTACAATTTCTCATGTGACTTAGACAACATAACACACGAGTAGCATACAATGTTTTATCCAACAACTGATAGAAATCATACAAGAACTGAAAAAACTAACAGGTATTTTTTGGGAATGATTCTTCTTTAAAGCAAGATTCATAAATTTTTACTTAAACCCTTTATTTGCTTGTCAAAGTATCATGTTATGGATAGGCTGACTATAATCAAAGAAAATCCTACTCGGAGTAGGATTATCTTTGCTACAATGAAATGACTATTCAAGGTACTGTCAAACTTAAATTAAAATGTCCGCCAAGAGGCACAGAAACCCTTTGTTTGCTTGTTAAAGTCAAGTGTTTTGGAAAGGCTAATAATATAGTAAGTTATAAACCATAACCCACTAGTGAGTTATGGTTTATAACACACTAGTGTGTTATTTGCTAGTTTACATGTCTAAATTGGTACAAATTTGACACTTATAACTGACTAGCACGTGTTGGATACAAAATTATTACCAAGTAATCATAGACAAAAATCAATAATAACGTACTTAATTTACCTTTATATATTTTTTTCTCCAAACGTCAAAAAATTGTCACTTTGTTAACCCCTGTCAAGATGTCAGAAATTTAATTTCTATGCTGGTAGGCAAATTTAGCAGGTTAAGACCTGTCGAGGTGGTAGAAATTTAATTTTCCTCCGAATGACAGTAAAACCAGGCTTTTAATGACACTTGACAGGATCAAAAGTTGTATTTTTAGTGCCTAGGCAGTAAAAGTGGACTTTTACTGCCTAGGCATTAAAAGTGACAGTGTCACAACGTTCCAGGTAATAATTTCACTCAATTTGGTATTTGAAATTGATGGTGACAATGACAAATGTCAAAATAATTTAATTATTTGGATAATAATAATGAATGAAATAAATATAAAAAAGATGTCCATGCGTGAATTTGAACATTCGGAGAAAAAATTATATGTTTTACATGGCAGAAAAGCAGATTTAATGCCTCGGCTGGTTTCCTAGCCTCGGCTATGAAACACCAGCCGCGGCATTAAATCTTGTACTTTTCTGCCTAGTGAAACAAGTAACTATTTTCTCCAAACGTCAAAAAAACGTCACTTTGTCAGCACCTGTCAAGATGTTAGAAATTAAATTTCTATGCTGGTAGGCAAATCCAGCGGGTTAACACCTGTCGAGGTGGTAGAAATTTAATTTCTATCTGCTAGGCAACCGCAGCGGCAGTAGAAGTACTTTTAGTGCCGCTGGAGCGACAGCAAAAGTACTTTTAGTGCCGCTCGTACTTTTACTGCCGCTCAACCATCCAGTTACCCCTGAGCTTACCCCATTCGTTTGGAGAAAAAATAGCGTGTTGCATACGAAGTAGAAGCACTTTTTTGTGCTTCAACAGTATTGCAAGCCTCACTACGTTCGTAAAGCTTCTACTCCTAATACAACAATATACTATTCCTATTTCACTTACTTTGACAAACGTATAAAATGGTTGATGGAATTGATTCTGGGATTTATTCAGCATGGGAGAAGTATCTGGCTGCATCTTATAGTTCCAATCATCTTCAAAATCGAATATCAATTCATTGTTCACTGGCACTTGTTCTGGAATAATTGAAAAACTTTAGACTGATTTTTTTTTATTTTTATGTTGGATTATGCATTACTGGGATTGGATTATTTCAGATCAGTAATTCAGGACTTTTGAATACAACATAACAATATTAAAATAAAAATGTTTCTAAAATGTTTTAGAATAGTCAAGTTGTGATGTGATGGTAATGTTAGAAAGATGTTCTGAAAATGTTTCTAACATGTCAATTTATTTTCAATACATAATTGTCCTTATTTCTTGTCTTGACTATTTTATCTTATATAATTTCAGCTTTAAATTTGTAAAAATTCAAATGAATACCTGTATTTGGGTATTCAAATAACTCATGTTGCCTTGGGCTATTGACAGCTGCGTAATTACCTAACAATAATTACGTAAAAATCAATACCTATTTATTTATTTTCAATTTCAATAACCTATTACATTCTATCTTATTTTTATTGTACACAATATGCATTTGTGTGTATAATGCTTTGTTAGATTTTTTTGATATAGTTATCGCTGAAAAATGATAATAATTTATTTTATCGCTTTAAATATTTATAAACTAATACGAAGCAGCTAAATTAATGATGTTATTGTGTGCTGCACTTTATTTTTCGATAGTGAAAATATTCTTATTTCTTTGAAATCCTTGACATAACAAGGTAAGGTGATGTTTTTACAAACTATGGGCATCTTCCAAATTGATTAAATTAATAAACATTACAAAATTATGTAAACTTTTATGCTACTCAATCAATTAGCAAACATTTTCTGTGACATAATATATTTCAATTACATAATTTCAAAGTATTTCATTGTTCTGCTCAAAACTTAGAGAAATAGTAATGATTGAAAGTTGTGAGTTGAATCTCTTAGAAAAAATCATAGCAATAATGGAAAAATCTATGCATAGTAAATATCTAAATGTTATTAAATCAAAAATTGGCTTTTTTGGCTAAGTTGAATCAAGAATTTTATTTTTAGGTCCCTATCTAGAAGAAAAGGTAAATAGTTACAAGTTAGAAGAAATGAAGATAGTGATAAAATTAGGTACCTACTATATAAAAGTAGAAAATATCAACTTCAAATAGTATAGAGGTTTTATCATAACAAACCCTCGGTAGGTTGAAATTTTTAAGGGATATTTAAAAACTCAAAAACACATCTCTCTTTTTTTTCAGATTTATTCTCCGACACACCATGAGTGGTTTTTACTTTTTAGTACATACATCAGACGACTTTAGATCCAGTATTTGTCTCTTCCTTCAGATTTCAGGAGTTGTTCAAAAGAAAGGTTTTTTTTTCGTATCAATCAACCTTTTGTAGATTGTACATTGTATCCACCAAATTTCTCCGGGATTAAAGAGACTGTAGAAGGTTCAAAATCCTATTAATCATCTCGTAAGATAAAACCAATGATTATCCAAGTCTTTTTCACTATGTCGTACGATGTATCAATTGGGCAAAACAATGATAATTTGTGTTTTTTTCATTTTGTTGAGAAGTTGCTGAATTTGTATTCTATTTTACCTAGTTATGATGAAAAACACTTTAATGAGCATGTTGTTTCAATAATTTCTTAACTGGGACGCAACATGTCGAGGTTAACTTCAACTGATGGTAAGTTAACATTTTAAAAATAATTATATGGGTATTATTTTATTTACAATCAAATGCCATTAAATTTGTTGAATATGTTGAAACAGCAATACTCATTTATTAGTTGGTAAATATACAGAGTGAGTTCTAAGTATGGAACGTCTCAATTATCTCGAAAACGGCTTGCTCGATTGTTATGAATTTTGGTTTGAGAGAGTATTGTAATATGGCTGATGATAATATAGTAGTATTTACATGGTTTTCAGATCTTTCGTTTTTCGGGAAATAGGTACCAGAAACTTTGTTTTTTCAAATGGATCATCAAACGACTCCCCTTTAGACATTAATATAAATAGATGAGAAGATAACATCAGATAATAATAAACCAGAATATAAATTGAAGAAGCAATATAAATATGACGAGAATGCATTAGGCTCATTTCAGGTAGTAGTTCAGAGTTCCCAGGAAAACAATATAGGGCATCTACATCCAATAATATATTATTTGAAATAAGAAAATGTCAACAGCCCAATGAAAAAAGGAGAAAATAAAGTTTTCATACAATTTGAAACGCCAAGGGCAACAAAACAGGTCACTTGAGAATCAACAATTAATGGATAGAGAATATACTATGTACATTCCTGAATACCTGGTCGCCTGTTTAAAGGAATAGTGAGTGGAATATGTAAAGAATTTGAACTAGAAGAAATTAATAAAAATTCTAGTGTTTAAATGGCCCGAGTATTAAACATAAAGAGATTTACTCGTAGAATAACAAATGAACGAGGAGAAATTGAATATACAATATACAGGGTGTTACTAAGCGCGCGGTCTTCCATATCTCCTATACTAACGGAGATCGGAAAAAAAACTAAATACAAAACTTGTAGATAAACATGAGTACTACATTCCTAAATTATTTTCTAGTATACAGGGTGGCCCAATAAGTAGTGGTGACACAAGGCTACGGTTTTTTTAAATGATTCTTCCTGTATATTATGAGATTTCTGGATTCTGCGGAAAATTCTAGACACATTTCACGTACATACAATGTCATATACCTATCTTCAAATGTTTCGGAAATATTGACAGTTGGAAATTGATTTTTTTGCATGTTTGACAGACTGTGAAACCTAAACGGTTAATTTTAGAGGAAAACGGATTTTACATTCCTGACTTAGATTTTCATAAGCTATCATTTGACACTAACTTTGAATTTAACCGAAGATTAATAATTTAGGCGGAATTTACAATCGTGGATTAAATTCAAGGTTGGTGTGAAATGATAGTTTATGAAAAACTAAGATAGGAATGTGAAATCCGTTTTCTTGTCAAATTAACCGTTTAGGTTTCACAGTCTGTCAAAGATGCAAAAAAGTCAATTTTCAACTGTCAATATTTCTGAAACAGTTCAAGATAAGTATATGATATTGTACATGAAATGTGTCTAAAATTTGCCGCAGAATCCAGAAATATTATAGTATACAGGGGAAGTCATTTAAAAAATCATAACTTTGTGTCACTACTAGTTATTGGGCCACCCTATATACTGGAAAATAATTTAGGAATGTATAGTACTCATGTTTATCTACAAGTTTTGTGTGTAGTTTTTTCTTCGATCTCCGTTAGTATAGGAGATATGGACCACCGCGCGCTTGGTAACTCACCCTGTATAAAAACGGGAACGTGTCTATTCACATTCAAAGGAAAAATTTCACCCAGATCCGTGAGCATCTATGGACTAAAGGTACCAGTACTACTACACTATGCCTGTAACGCAATGCTATAATTGCTCACTTGTATGGAAACACTAGGAAGCAATGTCGTGATCAAGGAAAATGCCGAAAATGTAGCAAAGCAGCACACAAGAAAATACAATGCAATGTAACAGCTGTGGAAGTGTAGAATATAAATCGATTTCAAGGAACTGCCCAAAATATAATCGTCAATTACAGAGAAGACAATATATGTCTCTAGATAGTATATCATATACTTAGAAGCCAGTGATATAGTACCAAAAACAAATAGATGATGTTTGTCGCCTAAACAGAATAAACAACCGAAATAAATAATCAAAAATCCCAGGTTTTATAAAAATCAGTCAAAATAGACAGATATTCCTAGGTAGGCAGAAAAAACAAATAATAGAAAGCAAACCTGCTTATAGCAGCAAAGTGTTTGTTTAGAAGAAAAGAAGATTTTTATCTCCGCCAGTAAAACATATAAATGTGGATGATTGAGACATGAAAACCAGGAATCAACAAATCGAAAATCCCATGAACAACACACCATCAGATAGAATAATGAAAATTATAAAATGGAATAGAAGATCAATCAATTCAAACATAGGCAACTTGAAAATTCTAATATAAGAACAAAAAGCAGAAATTATAACTTTGGATGAAACATGGCTGAAAAAAGATTAAAATTTAAGGATTGGCTATTACAAAACTTGTACACAAGATAGACAAGATAGTAACAGAGGTATTGCATGTCTGATAAAAGGATCTCATCGAATTTCTCAAATTATGACTTTACAAGAAACCTTCAAGTGCAAGCAATAAAAACCATGAAACCAAACCTGTCAATCCTCAACTTCTATGTCCCACCATCAACAAAAATTAGAGACAACTGGATCAAGGATCTTATCGTCAATATACCCATATACCCGAACCAAAATTATTACTAGGAGATTTCAACGGCCAACATCCCCTATGGGGAAGTTCAGTGGCAAATTTTAATGAAAAGTTCATAAATAATATACTAAATGAAACTTCTCTAGTTTTACTAAATGATGGTTCCAGAACTAGAGTAACAATACCGGGCCAAAACAAATCAGTTCCAGATATTTCTCCGGTATCTAACCCCATGGTCACGGTAATGGAATGAAAAATTTCAGAATACTGCGGCAACAGTGACCATTATCCAATATTAATTTCCTTGAAACATACCGAGATTGAGTCAATACAAAGAAGTACACCTAAAAGAAATACAAGAAAGGTAAATTGGGAAAGATACCATGACGAATTGTTAGTTGGGAAAACTGCCCATAATCATATTCTGATCTAGAAGAAGATATGCTAGAAGTTGCTGTAAAAACAATACCGAAAAAAAAAGCTGAAAAAAGGCAGCATAAAGAGCCGGTCACATGGTGGGATAAAGAATGTCAGGAGTTTTTAAATAAAAGGAAAACTACTATGAATAAACTTCGAATATGAATATTCAATGGAAAATTTTATCCAAGTAAAGAGGGTCAGTGCTCAGACAAGCAGGAAATTGAAAGAAAAGAAAAAGAACAGTTTCAACAAATATTCTGGAAATCATCACAGAAAATTTGGACAACAATAAGGATATTCTCAAAAGGGGATTTAGTAAATTTTTAAGTTCCAACACTTATATTATATCAATTGTTGTGAAATAAAGATGTTAAAAAAAAAAAAAATCTTTTTCTCCTTTTTTCAAGTCATCTAGAAATTCAGGCTGTTTGGTTTATTTTCATTCGTTGGTGTAATTCGTACTGATTTTAGTAAATATTTTAAAATAATCATTTTCTGATTTCATAATTTTCTGGTTTGAAATAATTTCTTTCATACAGTATCTACAGTATAGTTGGATATCTTGTTAGTAGTTAGTATTTAGGTAACTTCTAAAATATAGTATGTTATTGCAAAGTAGATGCAAAATTTATCACATTGATATAAATCATATTAAGTTTTGTTATTTTTGGTTTGGTGAAATATGTTTAGAATTTTCCGAAGAATCCAGAAATAGGAGATACTAAATATTAAACAAAAGTTGATAATCGTACAGAGTTGTTCTTAGAACACCCTGTATAACAAAATCGACATAGGTAACCGAGTGTTTTTTTGGGAAAGTTCCCTATTTATTTATTATCGAATTTATGCCATTTGGCTGATACACACGTACCTTCTATAATAATAGTTATTATCACATAAATGTGACTTTAATTCACGTAAATCTTACATAGTTGTAATTTATATCCTTATTCCTATTCGCGTAACAATTAAGAAAAAAATGTGACTAGCAATAGAATAACTGGTTGATAAAATGTGCCTTTGTTTTATTTTTAAACCTAGAATCAACAACTTTTATTTAAAAAAAAAACTACCATTTTTTGTACTCGTATTTAATATTAAAGATAATTTTGCGAAAAAGTTACTTCTACTTTGCTGCAGTGACTAGATACTTTTTTGAAGTATCTTTAACAACTCTGACTGACTGATTGGACTAGAAATAATTGAAACAAAAATAGTAGAATTAGATTGTAAAGTAAGTATACTACAAAAGTAGGTATAAGATATCTCTAAAGTTTTCAAGAGGAAAAGTAAGATGTTTGACCTGGTAGACACAGATGTCTGATGATGATTTCTCAAGATGGTGTGAAGTCAAAACGATGCAATTTTTTGAAGAAAAGAAAAACAGTAAAATGCATTCAGATAATGAAACAGAATTAAATAATATAAACATTAATGATCACCCGAAAGAAATGTTTTATCACTAGAAGATTGACTGTAATACAATCCTGAACAAAATAGACACTGCAACAAGTTCAAATTTGGACTCTCACTTTGATTTTTGACAGATGCTTTAAATCAATATCCCTAATAAAAATATTAGGATAAATTTGAATGAAATAATACCCTATCGAATCTAGACTGAAAAAGAACTAGATGTTAGACATTTACCAAAAGTTTTTGAATGTAGTGTCTAGTGCTTGAAAAGAGTATACCTGGAAAAAGGAAAATTTGTGCTGAACTTAAATTAACTATATACTGAAAATCTTTGAATAATTTCTAATTAAGAAAATATATGACTAGAAATGGTGTAAAAATGTGTAGGTACCTACCGGTGATTTTAAATAAAAGAACACCAACAAACACTTTAAACAAAATCGTACACATATTGTCTTTCGCGATATCAAAGAAGCACTTCGATCGATAAACTATTACACATATAAAGTATCGCGATCTTGCACGCAAGGATAAAGATCGCTTCGATGTTCGTTCTGTGCAAAATTCAAGGCTGTCCACTAAAAACAGATACACCTGACCTAATACATCGACAACTTATACGCAAATGATTTTACACAACAATTTTAGGTAAATAAAATACAGATATATTGTAACCGGCTAATTAATGCTATGGTAAGTCATTATCATAATGCTAATTAACTGCTGCTAGAACATTTTTTTATACTTTAGACAATTTGCGGATGTACAAAAAGTCTGTGTGAATTTGATACGTTCTGATGGGAAACTTCTTTGCTATTGTTAATGCAATTTTGCCGTTTTCACTTTAAGTTGTGTTGATTTTTATTCTTATTTTATAGTAAACGGTTGTTACTAAGCAATATTGCTAATGCAAGATCGCAATTAAATCATATAACAATACATATTTTATTATTTCAAAATTTCTTAATTATTAAAACAGCCCACATAATTATTTAATCTTATATTATACCCAATGGGCCCCTTGCATAAGTTTTTTTTATTGCCGATTTCGTTAGACAATGAAAAATAAGTCGACACGTGTTTTTTCTTTTTCGTGTTAGTCAAAAATTGACGGAGATACAACGCTTTGAAATCTGTTTATGACGTCATAAGGTATAATACTTTATGACGTCGCACATGCTCAGTATATCTATATATACAAAAGTTAATATTTGTATAACTTCCGAAATAATCGTATTTGGACAAAATAAAAATAAAAAACACATCGATTTTTTTTCGATTTCCTACAGTTTCCAATGAGTAAAACAGTTATCAATTTAATTTTTCATGCAAGTACCCCATTGGACCACCGACTGTGACGTAGCTACTGGGAAACTGAAAGCAGCTTTATGTTTCAGTCCTATATTAGACTACTCACGAGTACAAGGAAAATTTCTTGTGGACACAGACGCGGAGCTATTCTGTCGCAAATACAAAATATCAAGAAAGGATCATTGAATACTTCAATAGAGTGCTTACTAAGCCCGAGAGAAATTACTGCGTTACAAGAAAGGAACTGTTAGCAATAGAGCAGTTGACCATTTCAACAAATATCTGTATACAGGGGGTTCCCAAAAGGATGTTACAAACTTCAAGGTCAGATAGTATTCATGAAAATAATTAAAAAAGTTCCCATGTATATAGGTCCGGAAACGCTTTGTTTCCAAGATACAGGGTGTTAAGTTTTTCAAAAAAAAAAATAGTTTTTTATTCATAGCCCAAAAGAGCTTTAGCCGATTTTAATGAAATTATCTCGGTTTATTTCAACCATTATCAGACATCTACTGGACCAATTAGATTTGATCAAGAATTTCCAGGGGCGTACCCAGTCGGTTGTTTTTGTGCAGAAAAAAATATCACTCGGTAGATTTTGTACCTATATCCATAGGAACTTTTCCACTTATTTTCATAAATAGTATCTGCCCTTGAAGTTTGTGATACTCTTTCGGAAACACCCTGTATACAGACAGGGTGTCCCACTAAGATTGGCAAGGTACGATATTATGGAAACCAAAGACCTTACTCGGCTTCGGGATTTTTTTTTGCAATAAATCGGCTGATAGAAATTGATGGAAATTATTTTCAAGTTTCTAAGATGACCGCTAGGGGGCGCAATTACGATGATATAACTAAAAATTCAAATTTTCTCAAGAAATCGAGTGTTAGCAATAGGCATATTCTGTGTTTGTACGGCAGTCCTATTTTCTAATGTTATTAAAATAATTTTTTCAATCTTCACCTTTGTTTTGTAAATGTGTTCTGTGTTGGATGCGGCTTTAGCCACCAACTTCATGCTGATAACAGCATGAACACTTATATTTTTATGTATAATTATTATACTTAGGCATGTCGTATATGACCATATTTTCCCTATGCCATTTGAACTTATGCTGATGATGGATCTATGATAGATCCGAAACATGTACAACCCCCCTTCCAACTGATTATTTTTGTAAAATAAAGATAGACTGTGTGTTTTACTCCAGTTCTTTAAATATTTAATTGTTGATAGATCTGGTTATTTTGTTGAAAATGAAACAAACAACAAACAAAACATAAATCAAACTGGAAAAATGAAATCAAAATCAACTACAACGTAACGAAAATTAAACTCCCCAGGAGACATCAACACTCAACCAGTTACAGCCGGAACTTCTTAATGATCTGACCATCGAATAAAGAAACAACAGAAACTGAAATCCCTTCTCAAAAATCCGAATAAGTGGGGCCACTCAAAAATAGATTATTCAATTAGAATGTGTCCCTGAAACGCGGCACTTTACTAACATGACGCCATCTGTCACTGAACCCAAATTCCGGGAAAGTACCATAAATCAGGCGCGTGCTGTATGCCGACAAAGAAACGGTACCGCATTCCACTAAAAAGTGGGCCGAAATGACATCTTGATGTCAAAGCACTCATAAAATTTGGTGAGAAATTAAGCCGAAAGAACAAAGGAAGGAAGGAGACAATTTTTATATAAAAAGCCTGAATTGCGATAAAAATAGCAGTGTCGGTTCAGAAGAAGTATCAGTCAAGAACGGTCAAAAGTGTCAGTCGAGAACAGTCAGTCCAGAATGGTTAGTCAAGTGTCAGTCGCAGCAAGCAGAGTCCAAAGTCGAAGATAGTACGAAAAGTTTTAAGGAGGCAGTGCCAAAATTTCAGGTTCATAAAGTCAAGTCGTAAAAATAACGTTTCAGTAATTACGTGTGTGCCAGTAGAATTTAAAAGTAGGTAATAAATACATCTTGTAAGTACATTTACACTGTAAAAAAAAAAAGGAAATTTGTACTTTTTATAAAATAGGACAAAAAGCTCGACAAAAAGTTAATGAATTGATAAATTTACGAAAATTAAATAATTATCCCAAAAGGAATTAAAACATTTTTAAGATGATATTTCATGGTTTGTTGGTAAAATAAAAAAATTTGAAGCTAAATTTTGTAAAAGAACTTTTGTTATTATTATAACATTTTGAATTGGGAATTTCGTCATTGATAATTGAAAAAAATTTGAACTTTCTAATTTAACATTATTTTTGATAAGGCAAACTTTTGGTACGAAACTTACCTATTGGAATTTTTATAATAGAATTGAGGTATTTGTGAGAAAGAGTCAAATTTTAAATAAGTCAGAGAAAAAATTTTGGTGTTTCTATTTCAAGCCTTTCGGGCCGGCGCCCGATAAATTTATTTTAAATGAAATCATATTAAAATAACAGTCCACAGTTGTGTTTTACTCTCACACCCGCAAATAGGACCCATATAAATCTGTGTCTCCACTCAGAAACAAAAGCCGCCGCTCGCCAATTTAATATCATATAAGTTTCTGAATTGGGGTCTCACAAATGGTGTCAAGTGTGGGGTCTAATATTTGCGTAGGTACCGAGAAAGAAACACAATTATAGAAACAATAGGGTCAATCGAGTTCAAAATAAGAGCAGCTGTAGGGTTACATATTCACTTAATTACGGATTAAAAGAAATCGTAAATTTTGAAACATGACCGACGTGACGACCACCAACATTACAATACCAAATCTCGCAGTGGGATTAGATTCTATACCTTCTTATGACGGAACCACAAGTATAGGAGAATTTCTAGGAATAATTAAAGAAACTAGTATTATCGCGGACTGGACTGAACAACAGAAAATTTCCGTAACTTGGTTAAAGCTACGATTCAAAGCCAAGCAGTATATCGACTTAGAACCGACACACAAAACAACAACCAGCTGGACACATTTTACTGATAGTTTGCGAAAACAATTCAGCAAGTATTATGTGGCCGGAACAGCAATGAGACAGTTTATCGATTGCAAACAACGCACAGACGAAAGCTGTCGTCAGTTTCTTACGAGGCTGAAAATAATAGGAAACCGAACAATCACTAATCAGCGGCATTGCAAATACAGATAAGATAATAGAAGAGAAATTAAAAGCCGATATTGCCACTCAGTTCAGTCTAGGATTATTCATGCCCATAAAGCAGATAGTACTTTCGGGAAATCCAGGAAGTTTGGATGAAACACTTGAAATTCCTGAAAGAGAAAAATCTATAGAAAATTGCCTGCGTACTAGAAATAAAGATTGACTTATGGTAAATCAGGGACACTTCAAAGAAAAATTGCCGGAAAACAGAAACCAGTGGAACCAGCGAACGGAACAACGGAAATGTTTCAAATGCAACAAACAAAGACACTTGCAAGCTAACTGTCGGAATAATGGGCCAACTAACAATGGACAAGGAAATTGGGGATTTAGAGGAAGGATTTTATATTACAAATGTAACAAAGAAGGACATTATGCCAGAAACTGCCGCGAAAAAACCAATGACAGAAACGGAAATGAGAATTCGTTAAACTACAACGCAGCCACCTCATTTCAACCCCGAGACTTGGCTGCCAGCAACGAGGCAAATTGGGAATAAGTGAGGAAACGTGGGTAGGGATATACACATGATCTAAGGTGAGAGCCCCGGAAACTTGTAACGTAGTAAGGATTAGGGTTAATGATAAGTCGTACCTAGTCTTACTAGATTCTGGAGCTGTAGTATCCCTAGTTAAACCCGAAATTGCCCAGGGGTTCAGGAAGGAAAAATGTAACATAAATTTAGTGGACATTCAAGATAATAGAATACCAGTGAAAGGAATGGCAAATATACCTATGATGTTTGAAGAAAATATCTTGGTGAATCACAATTTTGTGGTTGCGAATTCGGACTCATTACGAGCGGATCTACTTTTGGGAATAGATTTCCTGCGCCAATATGGTATAAAAGTAGATTGGCAAAATAATTGCATGTACGCTTTCGAAAAGGAAATACCTTTGTATGAAGAAAATTGCCAAGACCAGAATTATTTGGTACAAACAGTGGAGAAAGAATTAAGAGAAAAAGTTAAAAACTTAGAAAATGAGCTAAACGAGGAAGTATGTTGAGAAAAGAGATTTGAGTTACGAACGCGAGAAAGCAAGGGAAATAACGATTTAGTACGCGACAGATTTTGGAAAACAAGGTTCGACGTCACTGCATATGACGGAGGATCCAAGTTTTAAAGCGATATGCAGTCGCTGTGAAACTAATACCAATCAATCGGGTGAAAAATCTAAAAATCATGTTATGACTTCATCGGGGAAGCTAGCTAGTTCCCGACAGTCCCTTAATTCTCTCCCGACTCAAGAAAAAGAGAAAGGAATTACGGAAAGTTTCTCAGAAATTCCAGGAAAGCCTTTGGAACCTAATGAAGAAAAGTTTCTAGTTTCTCTACGAGAAGAGATAACGATACCGCCGATGAGTCAGGCAGTATGTTTTGCAACATAGAGGAGCATCAAGGGTTAAAACCCAATTCGTCGTTATCGAACCGCGTGATGATGTTTTATCAGGATTGTTAGTTGCACGAGTTTTATGTGAGAAAAAGAAAGACGTCCCAGTGAGATTATTGAACGTAACCGAGAAAAAATTTACCATAAAAGGTAAATCTATAATTGCCGAAGTAGTTGAAGCCGACATCGAAAAAAGTAATAAAGGAAATGACACAATTCAGATAAGAAATATTGATAGAGAAGGAATAGAAGAGATTTTGGAAAGTTTACAATTGAAAAATACTACGACTCCGCAAGATCAAAGGGATGTCATTTTAAAGGGGTTTTGCCATGAAACACCACGTTGGCAAGACATCTTGGTTAGTGAGATAGCTTCAGCCCTCTAACATGAAGATTGCCCATGCAATCTATTGGCATGGTATTATGGATAATATTGAAAACTGTTCTCTTGTGTTCTATTTGTCAAAAATATCTTAAACAATCTCTCAAACGTAAAATAAATAGTTCAGCATTGAAATCAAAAAATAAAGTTTATGTGTGAAACTACATCCCTGTGAGAACAATTCAAATTTACCTCGCCCAAAGAAAATGTGTGGTCTTCTAACCAAATTTTTGAAAAATATCCTTTTTTCGAATTCTGGACTAAAACCATTCCGTTAAAAGACCAAAAAACTTATAGATTCACCTGTAACGATTAAATTCAGTAGGGAAATATAATCTTTAAATCTTTATTTCTATAATATTTTTATAGATTTATTTAAAAGAAAACATGATCTCGAATAGTTTTCAGAAATCTAGTTTTTATCATAATCAGATATTTTTTTCAAGAGTTAACAGCCACTCGAAAAGTTACCTAATCAACAATTATCATTTCTAGTTTTGAATTTGAAATCATTTCATTTATAGACTCAGTAATATAATGTTGAAAATACCAGTTATTGTGTTAAGTGTTTCATTATTAATTTTAAAACAATGTCATGCAGCGAATATTTTAGTGATACTTCCGTATCCTGGTTTAAGCCATTTTATAATGTTTGGCTCGCTATTGAGAGAACTAACTGATAGAGAGCACAATTTGGATGTGGTCAGTCATTTCTCTTCAATGATGCCCATTGAAAGGTGAGAATAAAATTTCTTTTGAATTAGAAAAATATTAATTCTCTATTTCACATAAACACAATTAAAATTTCCTTCAAATTCCAGATACAATGATATACCTATTAGAGGCAGCGTTCCAATACCAACAAACAACGTTTCAGTACAATCCGCTAGAAACTTTCAGGGACTTCATTGGATAAAAGAACTCTCAACTACCAATGGAGTTGACATATGCAAAAACGCCTTCGAAACTTCCCAACTTCAAAATCTCAAAAACAGTACCACAAAGTACGACCTCGTTATAACAGAACTATTTGGGAGTGATTGCATGTTGGGTTGGGCGTGGCATTTCGGAACGCCATCTGTGGTTTTAAGTACCAGCTTGGTTTTGCCTTGGGCTTCGGATAGATTTGGTCTTCCTGATAATCCTTCATATATTCCCAGTTATTTGGCACGAAGTGGAGATACAATGAACATTTATGATAGGATTTGGAATATTTGGTGTGTTTCAATGGCGAAAATAATGTAAGAGGATTAAAAGTTATTAAAACTCACACTACTCGAGGTGCATTTTTTAGGTACTACTGGTACAGTACCAGACCGTCAAACCTTTTGGCGAAAAACTTTTTTGGAGAAAACATGCCGCATCTGGATGATTTGGCCTACAATACCAGTTTGCAACTCATCAACAGCCATTTCAGTATTCATACTTCAAGACCACTAGTACCGACTGTCATCGAGGTTGGTGGATTACATATTCCAGGAGCAAACGCTGTTGATGAGGTAAATTGCTTCATAAATTCAAGCAGCATGTTGCTTTCACCTTCCTTCAGATCCATTTTACCAAAAACTAGGTGACTTGGTGAATTTCATACCACTCAAAATTGATTTGATTGTAATTCTTCATCATAAGCGATTATCAATAGGAATTTTTAAGGGATTACAGAGGTCGAATTTGAAATTAATGATAAACTTTCTGTTCGAAAGCTGAGACTTAACACTACCCGTAAGGTGAGGTTTTATAGCAGTGTTGCCAATGACCCGATAATTATTACCATAATTTTGACTACGATTCAATAGTCGATAATGACAAGCTAATCTACCATAATTTATTGAAACTACAATAATTTTAATATAGATTTTTCAAATTTCTATTTAAAAATTAAAAATTTATTAAAAAATTGAAGGTGGTTGTTGGTTTTGAGTGTTTTGATGTACTGGTGCGAGCACCAAACCCTAGTCCCAGATTGAGCCAAAGTTTCATGCCAATAACTTTACTGGTTTCCAAAATATGGCCTTTGAAATATTTGAAATTCCCATGTCCTTTGGAAAAATTCGAATTTTTAAATTTTGCAATGTTTGACTTTACCAATCAAAAGTGGAGATCAAAATTAGTGAAAAAGCATTTTTGCAACTTTGTTTTTAGAGTTTTAAAGCCTTGTAAAAAAATAAAAACGATTTTTGCAATTTTTGGGCTCAAAAAATTTCAATAATCTGATCTCTCTCTTTCAGAAAATTGCTGATTACTCGGTTATTATTATAACAAATATGATCTAAAATTATATATTCTGAATCAGAATTAAATTATCTTCAAGATAAAATAAGATTCAATTCTATATCTTAAATACTTGTGAAGATATTGAGGCTCAAAGTTGAAACTTTACCTCAAATTTTGCAAAAGCTTCCAGGCGGATTATCTTGAAAACGAAGCCCTTGGGCTCGGAGTCTTAAATAACCTTTTTTGTAGCCCTTATTGAGAGATACAATTGGGTAAAAGATTCATGCCAATAGCTTCACTGGTTTTCAAAATATGGCCCTTTGAATTATTTGAAAATCAAATTTCCATGCATACCTACCTAACCCTTTGGAAAAATTCGAATTTTTAAATTTTATGAATTTTGCAATTTTTGAGTTCGCCAATCGAAAGAATAGGTTAAGATTAGTAGAAAAGCAATTTCGGAATTTTTCCTTTTGGGGTTTTAAAGCCTTATTAAAAAATAAAAACGATTTTTGTAATTTTTGGGCTCAAAAAATTTCAATAATCTGATATTCTTTCACAAAATTGCTGATTACTCGGTTATTATTATAACAAATATGATCTAAAATTATATATTCTGAATCAGATTAAATTATCTTCAAGATAAAATAAGTTTCAATTCTAAATCTTAAATACATCTGAAGATATTAAGGCTCAAAGTTGAAACTTTACCTCAAATTTTGCAAAAGCTTCCAGGCGGATTATCTTGAAAACGAAGCCCTTGGGCTCGGAGTCTTAAATAACCTTTTTTGTAGCCCTTATTAAGAGCTACAATTGGGCAAAAGATTTATGCCAATAACTTCACTGGTTTCCAAAATAAAAGCATTTGAAATATTTGAAAATCCAATTTCCCCTTTGGAAAAGTTCGAATTTTTTAAATTTTTGCATTTTGCAATTTTTGACTTCATCAATCGAAAGAAGAGGTGAAAATTAGTGGAAAAGCATTTACGTAACTTTGTTTTAAGGGTTTTAAGGCTTGTAAAAAAATAAAAACGATATTTACCCAAAAATTGGCTCAAAAAATTTCAATAATCTAATATTCTTTCACAAAATTGCTGATTACTCGGTTATTATTATAATAAATATGATGTAAAATTATATATTCTGAATCAGAATTAAATAATCTTCAAGATAAGATAAGATTCAATTCTATATCTTAAATACTTTTGAAGATATTGAGTCTCAAAGTTAAAACTTTGTCTGAAATTTTGCAAAAGCTTCAAAGCCGATTATCTTGAAAACGAAGCTCTTGGGCTCGAAGTCTTGAATAACGTTTTTTGAAGCTCTTATTGAGAACTATAATTGCTAGAGTCCCAGCTAGAACCCGAAAAATGAAAACAGAGGATAAAAAGTCAAAAAAGTTGACAGAAACTTTTTCTGAGAATTTCATACATCTGTCAAAACTGGTATTCCAACAATGAATTGACATGTTTTGATTGTTGATTTGAACCAATCAGATTGCAATTATCTGATAATTTGCACTAGTGTAACTGGTGCGAGAACTGGTGTTTTGACATTTTTTGACAAAAAATTCAAATTTTTGATTTATGAAATTCTCTCATTAAATACAACTCCTGCAATGGAAATATATGCTCTCGTGCTCTTTTTCAACTAAAAATGCATTCGGGCAAATTTCCCAAAAATTATCAATAATTTCCATTGCACTAGTTATATTACTATTGATAATTTTTCTTGGAATCTGATATATTTGTTCTCAAATCCTGATAATTTTGAATTTGACATCTGACAACACTGTTTTATAGTATAAAACTGGAGAAAAACGAATAATTAGCATATCATCCCTCTCTAAGGGGGTTTATGGATGAAATTTTCACAATGTGATAATTTTTTTCCAATGAGATTACAAACTTCTATAATTGTTCCAAATTTTATGTTTCTACCTCATCTAGAAGTAGTTGAACCTTCTCGACACAAAGAAATATTTTGCGTTTCATATATGTATAGATACAAACCAATCAATGTTGCCTCATTTTTCCAGTACTTCAATGACGTTCTAAACACCAACACAAGAGGAATCATTTACTTTACCATGGGTTCGCAAGTTCTAACAGAAACGCTTCCCAAAGAAACAATACAAACCATGTTCGATGCCTTTGCAGAATTACCATACAAGGTACTTTGGAAAGCTAATAGAACAAATTTACCTGGAAAATTGAAATATCCGGATAATATACATTTTGAGGATTGGTTTCCACAATTGGCCATTTTATGTGAGAAGATGATTATTCAGAATCAAACAAATATAACTATTTACCATTATTAGGCGATCCAAGGGTGAAACTCTTCATCTCTCATGGAGGAATGATGGGAACTCAAGAAGCAATCTTTTGTGCTGTTCCAATACTCGGAATCCCATTGTATGCTGACCAACACTCTAACATCAAAAAAGCTGAATCTATGGGATTAGCTTTAGCAATAGATTATGATGATATATCCAAAAAATCTATATTAGAAGCAACAAAGAAATTGCTAAATAATGCAACGTAAGAAATTAATTTTGAATGCAAATATTTATAATCACTGCTCGTTTTTTTTTTTAGCTACAAACAAAATGCCCAAAAAATCTCAGAACTCTTCAAAGACCGATCCTTTACCGCTATGGATACTGCCATATACTGGATAGAGTATGTTATCAGAAATAACGGAACGCGCCATTTGCAAAGTGCCTCAAAAACTCTACCTTTATATCAGTACTACCTTTTAGATATTGGTGCTGTTTTAGTTGGAATACCGATTATTGTAATAATTTTATTTGTAAAATTAATAAAGTTTTTGGTAGGTTGTTTTAAGATTAAAAAGAATCTTAAAGTTAAAACCAAATGATCAAAAGATACTTGTACATTCTTATAAGAGGTGATAATTTTTGGTTTTCCTTTTTTTTTCTAAATAAATTCATTTCAAATTGAATTTGGTTTTTGATTTTATTATATTATTATTTCACAAAAGACTGTCAAAATCTGTTACAGCATAAATGTTGTCCATTTGTATTCAAGCATTTTTGGGATTCATAAATCAGGAAAACAAAACTGACAAATAACGCCGAAGAAGACGAGTATCCATTGGAAATTCTTTGGGAAAAGTCAGTGAATAGATTGTAGCATCCGCGCCAAGTACCTACTCTATTATTTAGGTTAGATGGTAAATTGCGAGCGGTCGTATTAATGAGAAAATAAACAGATTTTCATCCAATTACAATGGAACAAATTTTCTAAAGCCTAATCCAACACCTTTCTAAACAAAACTAAACAATTCTAAATTGATGCAATCGTACAGCCACCTCTACACTGTTTCTGAGCTTGTAAATCAAATGATGCAATCAAAAAGCCTTGTACTTTAATAACACTTTCCTATAGCCTATAGCCCTATTACGTTAGGATAAAATCCCTGAACTCGCTTACTGCCAAATGTTGGACAATACTTATACCCAAAATCATGTACTTAGCCAGAGTAAATACTATCATATTTCATTTGATTAGAAACCAAAATATCTTACTAATCATTCACTAAACGGAACAAAACAGTCAATTTGATTATCCAAACTCTTCAGTAAAATTCATTTCAATTAACAGTCATTTGAATTAAATTTCTCTATCTATACTAAGCACAAAAATATTCAAAAGTCATTTCACTCAAGATAATAAATAACATATATGCAATAATGTTCCATAGTCAATTCACTTACTTCATAATCATTTTATTCATTGATGAAGGCAAATAGGCATGTCACTAGAGTACTTACATTTAAATATCGCCCTTAAAATCACTTAATTTTTCTAATTTCTTTTGATTATTTAGAGCTCGCACACAATGTTGAACGAATTTAAATGTTCTTTCTTTCACAATTTTCCGTTAGTTTTTCAAAGTTCGATTTAACGCGTTTTCCAGAGGCAACAAAATAAAAGAAACCCTTCGCGAATTTTATCCGGAATAACTCATTAATCTACCTGTAGTCTCAAGACTCTGATCTGAACTGAAGACTGACTTAAGACTCGCCCCTTTTATACTATTATTTACCCACCCCAATCGACAATATGGGCGGTCGTTGACCATCTGTAAATTCGATTCTATTGGTCGACTAAGAAATTATTCCAAAAAATATAACTTGCTTATCGGATGATGTCGAAATCTGTGTATGATTATTAGGGGTCAACGAATTGGGAAAAAATTAAATCAAAGAAAAGCCGACTCGTGCCGGCAATAAATTATACGATCTTTTGAAATTTCTGTCATTTTGGGGCCTAATTTAATTAGTTACCTAACCTTGTATTTAATCTTTTCCGGGTTTTGATTTATGAGTTCAACTAACTTGATGACACACGCCTGATGACTGGCTATTAAAAATTGAACGAATTTTATAGTTATTTTAGTTAATTTTGGTCAATGCCTATTTGTTTCATTTTCAATTTATTGATATCTACTGATTTGAAATACTGGAGATTCCATTTTTGATTATTCGATTATATTTAAATTAATTGTTGTTGCATTTTTCTAAGACATTGTAAATTACGGGTCACTACAAGATCTACCTAGAGACAGATACTGGAACTTGAAAAGCAACGAAACAGCGGAAATTGCATGAAGAACAAAGAAGATTCTGAAATATTTCAATGCATCCTGAAGTATTAAAGACCCCAGCACTTTGATTAAAACGAAAATTAAATTGGAGGACACCTTACAAGATCACAGGTGAAATAAATCAAAGATATAAGGCTGAAGAAGAAGAACAATATCCGTGAGATTACTAACATTTAAATGCTGACCTAAATTACACATTCTGCTATAATTCCTTCAAAAAATATTTGTAATTAGGTACTGAAGCTTTATTTGGTCTAGTATCAACGTGTCTTATTGCGGTCAGCGAAATACACGTAGAACCATGTTGAACAACTTCAAAAAACTTGAGAGGATCCAAGAGGAAGTACTGCGAGAATATAGGAAATATTCAAGATTCTGCTAGACTACAACGAACTCTCTCAAGGGACCCGAAGACAACAATCATTCCACTCAAGATGAAATAAACCTAGGCCTCGAAGAGCGTCCAAGAACGATTGCAACATTCTAAGAACTATCCTAGACTTGGAGACACATTAGGATTCATATTAAAGCCTGGAAAAATAAGACAGTCACTAAGACCCATTAGTCTAACGTCATTTGAGCTTGAGACACTGGAAAAACACGTGGATAGTCACAAAAGGGACGGTGTGTTAGCACCCAGACCAGTATGCATATCGGATAGGGATGTCAACAGAAACAGCGCTTTACCAGCTGGTCAGCATAGTAGAGACCATATTTGAAATCAGGGAGGTGTTGCTGGGGTGCTTGTTAGACATAGGGGAGCTTCTGACAAGACTTCCTTCGACTTAAAGGGGGTGTGCGCCAAAAATTAAAGTTATAGTGTTAAAAAATCTAAGAATAACTGTTCAAACCTCGTTATTCTACGATAAACCATCGCTGAGATATACCGCTTTAAAGTGTGTGTGACGTCACGAGAGCTTCGTCCAGCCGCGATCCGCATTGATAATTTGATTGTTACCGGCACGCGTGAGTGGTTTTTGTTTAGATGATTGAAGGTGACACAGGAAAAACATATGTAAATTCAATTTACTTCACTTTATCGTGCGTCGCTTGAGCTTTCGTGACGTCATAGGGTGAGATACGGTACCTTCATAGAGCCATATCTTCGGTATTATTTGTCATAGAGGGGTGCGGTTTTTACTGTTATTCTTAGATTTTTTTTCTCTTTTTTTTAAGATGAAGTTGTTTTTTTGGCGCACACCCCCTTTAACCAGATAGTGAATCAAAGATAAAGATCTGCATTGGAATCCACGTGAAAGTATTTATTTATTATTAAATAACGCGAAACCATCAAGGCCGAAAATATCAAAATAAAAAATAAATATCAATTAGTTACGAACATTTTTATAATATTTTTGGTAAAATAATAATAAATACAGGGTGTCCCAGCCGAGAGTGACCCATTTTAAATGCTTATAACTTTTAAACCAGGTGAGCTAGCTACCTGCGGTTTGCGCCATTCGATTTCTCTTGGTCTAAAGTTTTTTCTAGTAGGTTTCATTTTTTTTTTAAACTTAGACAGGGCGAGTAAAAAAAAATCCATTTTTCAACACCGAAATTTTCCACTATTTTCAATGGAACGCCCTGTATATTGCAACGTCAAAAAATAGATTCATGTTTAAGGTATCCATGTACTAATAGACATCGTCCCTAAAACTTGAAGTTTTAGCCGTAAAAAATCGAATTCGAAATCTTTGTATTTTTGCAAACACCTATTTTCAAGCTTCAAACCTTATGTTTGCCTAATAAAAAGTTAATAACAACTGCATAAAACTATACAAAAAGCTGTAGGTACCTATATGTATATGTTAGCCATTCTGTTCCAGGCATTTGTAGATCAATAAATGGTTGAATGAATTGTGTAACATTTCCTGGAGAATCGCTTCAATGACATTAAAAATGTTCCACTTAAGATCTTTCAGGCTATTTTAGCAAAGTATTGCCGCATCTTTCCTTGACATAAGGCCAGAGAAAAGAGTCTAGAACTCTCAAGTCAAGAGAGTAAGGTGTCCATTCTATAGGCCAGCGGCCAGCTCTCCTTATCCGTCTTTCCCCAAATATCATATCTAGTGATTCCCTTGCTATTAATGAATAATGAGGTGGGTGCATCATCCTGCTGAAAATAGATATCATTCAAGATAACCTCCTGTCTCAACTATGGGAAAAAGAACAGTATACAGTTTCTGTTATTGTTGGTTCATCAATGAAAATGGTCTGTATTTTTTCTCAATAGAGATTGCACACCAAACTGTTACTGTTGGGGTATCTCTATTTAATGAGTTCCAGAGAAAATATTTTGGAACTCGTTAAATCTTGGAAAATGTATCTCAACTTAATTGATATCTAACTAGACAGTTACAAAATTGTTTGCCATAGTGATATCAAGTTCCTACAACATGAAGTTGCATGCGTCTGCAAAAATACCAAAATTTCGATTTTGTTTTTTTTTTTTTTGGCTAAAACTTCAAGTTTTAGGGACGATGTCTATTGGTACATGGAAACCTTAAACATTAATCTTTTTTTTGACGTTGTGATATACAGGATGTTCCATTAGAAATAGTGGAGAATTTCGATGTTGAAAAACGGATTTTTTTTTACTCGCCCTGTATTAGTTTCAAAAAAATTTGAAACCTACTGGAAAAAATTTCAGACCAAGAGAAATCGAATGGCACAAACCGCAAGTAGCTAGCTCACCTGGTTTAAAAGTTATAAGCTTTTAAAATGGGTCACTCTCGGCTGGGACACCCTGTATAATAAATAAATTGATTAAATAACAACTAGGTATTTAGTTCTCTCTTACAATCTTCCCTTTTGTAATCACTCCAAATTCATATGCGTGAATTAATATAGCACTGGCTCTTTCCTTGTAAGCATCGCTAGCAATAGTTTTGCGCATGAGCTGCTTAAAAAAGTCCTGCACTTCTGCAGGTGTCATTTTGTCGGTACCCTTCAAAACCTGCTCGTACTCTTCTTTCGGTAATAATTTTATGTACCATAAATGAATACCCCAAAAAACCCCAAGCAAAGCGTTTTCTTTCCATTCCCTAACAAGATCCTTATACGGAAATAAAATGTTCGCATCTTCACCGCATTGCCTCATCACGTTGGATAATGATTCGTGATAAATTTTAAGGTAACTTTCCAGATTGGCAAAATCGTTTTTTGACGCTCCACAATAAAAGAAATAGGAAAGGTCGTGTATTGGTGAGCTTTCTCTTGTAAGTTGGAAGTCGATCAGTTTGATGTCTTCAAGTTTACCAGTTTGCTAGAAAAGAATATCATATTCAATACACATTCAAAAAAAATTATACATAGATGTTAACTATTTACCGAATATTTGAACAACATATTATTCGACCAACAATCCCCGTGTGTTAAACACTTGAATTTACCAGAATACTCGCAGGCCTTCAAATAAGTTGCCTTAAAATACTTCGTATAGTCTTTAACTTCATCGTATATCAGCGATTTTGGGCTCAGAGCTTTCACAGCTTCGTCGAAACATTCACACATGTCTGCACCCATAAAATCAACTATTCCAGGAAATACATTAACATATTTTTGAGACAGTTCTTTGTACTTCTCTTGGTCTTGTTTTTGTAATACAAAAGACAGTCCATGAAATTTTCCGTAAATTTTGAACAGGAATTGTAAAGCAATATTTTATAAGTATCTAACCTATGCAGTTTATAAAATTATATAGGAATAATTATGTTTTTCTAGTATCTTATCATTAAATTATAAATTTTTGAAGATCTTATCATAAAGATTAAAGCGCATAAGCGCGTGTTTGCAATAGCAAAGTCTAAATGCAATCATTTTATAAATCAAGTTCTAGGTTAATAGCTAATATAGTGATTCCAGACATAGGCAAAATAAAAATAATACAAATTAAATGAAAAATTTGAAAGGGTGAATCAAGAAATAAACCTTGTAGAAAAACTTGTAGATGAAGCATTAAAAAAAAAACCGTATAAAGGAAAACTCAATGAAGCTAAAACTAATGTCGAAACAATAAGAAAACAATAATTAGAAGAGCAATTTGGAGCTAAAATTCTGGAAGAAACCTCAAATAAATAATAAACAGAAACTTTGGCAAACGGCGAAAATGGAAAGACAAAACTCAAAAAAGCCTTCAAAAAGTATAAAATAGAACTTGAAAAAACTCAAAATTCTTCAGAAAAAAATCAACAAACTAAACAAAGCATTAAAGCTAACAAAAAAAAAATCAGCCAAGAAATCATCAAGCTTGTTTCAACAAATAAAGACTGACAATAAATTGAAAACTTAAAGAAGACATCAATAAAACAAACAACAAAACATACAAAAACTACACAAGATAACGAAATTGACTTAAAATGCGAAAAGAAATAAATCAAAGAGAAGTGAAACAATATCAAAACTAGAAGCACATTGTGAAGAAATTAGGAAACAAATTGAAGTTTATGAAAAACATGCAAACAAAAAGTCGAGACAAAAGACAAAATCATTAAAACCGCAATCCAAAAATAGTTAATTTAAAAGCTGTAAACAATTGTAATTAGGTACAATAATGTATCTGGCTTTCTTTATTAAAAAATAATAACAATAATAATAAGGCGCCAAAAAGTGTAGCCACCAAGTAATTAGGACTTAACTATTGCGCCACGAAGTTATTAAAAAAGGTGTTTAGGATTAGGCTTGTACCTAATTTGTGAATATTTGAATAAATAAAAAAAATGTAAATAATGAATATATGGATTTACAAGTGAAATGTATGTGAAAATCCAGAAGTTTCCAAAGTGAGATTATCTACAGGTTTGGTCTCACTATAGATAGGCTAAGGTATGGTAAGTGAGTCATGAGTCCTATCCACGTTGTATCTGTTTAACGTAGAACCCAATGTGGTTCTAGCAGAGTGGTACCAATAGAGTTGCTGAGGAAAGGCTACCAAAACCCCAACTGAGAGCAATCTAGATCCAGTCTAGAATCTCTCTAAATACAGCTTAGCAACTGTCCAACTATAGCCTAAGACAATCTAGTTACAGCCTAGCACTAGGATTGTCCAACTATAGCCTGAAACTAGGATTGTCCAACTATAGCCTGAGACTAGGATTGTCCAACTATAGCCTAAGAGTAGGATTGTCCAACTATAGCCTGAGACTAGGATTGTCCAACTATAGGCTAAGAGTAGGACTGTCCAACTATAGCCTGAGACTAGGATTGTCCAACTATAGCCTGAGACTAGGACCCTATAACGATGTTCGTATAAAAAAACAAATCGAGCCCCAAATATTAGAAATAATCTTACCTCAAATTGAGGGATACTCTAGCTAGACCAAAGGTGAAGTCTTAAACTTCCAAATGCTGCTCGGAACAGTCCTATTAAAAAAAATGGAACACGTGTTGTAGGTTAATATTTCCTGAAGAAAATCTCAAACTTACCGAAACAGAATCCAAAAATGACCAAGGGACGACTCTAGACAATTATCAGCAAGAAATTAGTCTAAAACTTGAGCTCCCTGGCACAAAATTCCAAAAAGTCTCGCCCCAAAAATAATTAGGGCCGAGGCCCGAGACTGGACGACTACTCAGCGTGAGGTCGCAGATCAAAAGCGCAGATTCTTCATTTAGAATTTAGATTTCGGAAGAAGACTTTCATCTGTCAAACTTCTAATTTTGACATTGAAGAAAATTATAGAAAAGGACGTGTTCAGTTTCACCCCAAAAGTACGAACTGAGAATCGGTTGTGTAAAAAATGACTGGTGAATGTTGAAAAGTGCCTATAGAACATATATCAAAAGGTAGAACAGGTCTAAAGAAAACGCCTAGACAAAACAGCTGTTCAATGACATGATGGAAATGAAAAGTCAAAGAGTAAACAACAATTATTATCATAACCTCAGATTATTGATTGGATTTGCAAACAGATATATGATGATGGTACTAACTCCCTTTCCTAAGATTCTAATCAATAACAGCGGGCCCTGCCGTACTGAATCAAACCTTCCTAGATCAATTAACAAAACTTGCAAACCTGCACCAAAAAAAACTTTCAGTAGAAGGCAGTACTCAAGGTAACAAAATCTGGGCACAGAAAAGATAGTTGTTTATTCATTTATTTCATTGTAGTTATATATGGAATCATATCTACTAAAGCAAAACAAGGTAGCTTATTAGCCAAGAAATTGAAAATGTTACAACCATTGACGCTGAAATCCAACATAGCTTAAAGTGTGCAAGTACGGCGTTCAGGTGACTTCTAGAGAGAGTGTTCAACAATCACGACATCAGCGCTGCGGCTGAAATCAAACTTCGCGTCTACAATGCAGATGTACCAACACTTACATATGGCTGCGAAACATGGACCATCAACAGAAGACATAAAAAGTGAAAAATACCACAATCGCTGCCTAAGAAGGATCTTACGGATTAAATGGCAGGACCGACAAACGAACATTAGTGTTTGAAAGGAGGCCAAAACAACTAGCATGGAAACCCTCATCATTAAGCTCCAACTTTGCTGGACAAGTCACCTCGTGCGCATGCCCAAAACACATCTTTCACGACAGATTCTTCACAGTCAATTGAAAGAGGAAATACTGAATCAGAACACGCAACAAAGATGTTCTTAGGAAGAATATGGTAGAGTGCCGCATCGATACCAACAACTGGGAGACGACTGTAAATTATAGGCCCTCTTGGCGTCCAGTAGTTCATTTTTGAAGAACAGCGAGGCAGAAATAAGACCGAAAAGAGGAAACGCAGAAAGAAGCTGAGGGAAGAGACAATGCTGTCATAGGTTGGGTGTACCAAGACTGTGGACGACTGTGGTGTGGGGATCTAGAATTGGTTTATATAGCCATCAGGAAACGCACAATCGACGACAATAGGAATGGAATAGAAGATAATCATACTCGGTATCAAGTAATTGCCTATGATGATGATGATGACATAGGTATCTTAACACAAGTGTTTCAAATTAATTAATTTCTGCATTAAAATTAAAAATAATTCACATCCCAATATCTATATTTATTTTTTTTAAATCACGCTCTGACAACCGCTTTTCCAGTATTACCACCGTTAAGCATATCAACAAATGCGTCGAACATATTTTCGAATCCCTCTGTGACTTTTTCATTGTATTTAATTTTGCCTTGTTTAATCCATGCCAAATTTTGTTCGATGCCCTCCATCCATCTGTCCGCCCATCGTTTCACTAAAAACCCTTCGAGTCTCAATTGTTTTGAAACTATAGCGTATTGAGGAGCACTAACTGAAATAAATTAAAGTATGTTAGGAGTTGAAAATCCATAAAATTAACTATTACTTTTAGGTATTTCTGTCGCATTATATCCAGAAATGCTTCCGCAAACCGATACTCTTCCATAAGTTTTCATTTGGTTCATTACAATAGTACTAATCTCTCCACCAACCTTCAAAAAAATACATTTTTATAATGTAGTTTAGAAAAAAATATTTACATTATCAAAATAGCAATCGACTCCTTCTAGAGCAGCTTTCTTCAATTCTTCTTCTACGTTTTCTGTTTTGTAATTAATAAAATAGTCAAATCCTAGTTCTTCAAGTAACCATTTGCCTTTTTCGTTGGAACCAGCAATTCCAATAACCTTGCATCCTAATGGAGCATTTCTATGGGCTTCATAAATATCTCAAAAAATGATGATTTACCTTTAATTTTTGCAATTTGACCTACGTGACTTCCAACGGCTCCTGCGGCTCCACTTACTACAACCGTTTCACCATTTTTGGGATCACATAACTCTAAAAATCCAAAATATGCAGAGTTTCTAAAAAAAATTATGTATTACTGATTTTTTTATTGGTAGCTAACGTACCCTGGCCTTCCCAATATACCTAGACCCAATGATGCTGGCAAATCTCCTAAATCTGGTAGTATTACTAACGGGATCTTGGTAAGTGGATCTGAGTCTAATTTAGTTATAGTATGTGTTCTCCAACCGAATTGTCCTACAATGTATTTTCCGACTGGATATTTGGGATTTTTACTTTCTATAATTCTAGAAAAAAATTTGTAGGTATTCGTACAATTTTCTTATATTTTAACATAATTATTATTCCTACACTTACTTTGCTACTTGTGATCCGATCATTGTAATTCCTAAGGAAAGGTTTGGCATGGACGCCCTCATATAGGGATCGACACTTAAGAAAACGGCTTCAGCTAAAAATTCTATATAAAATATTTGATTTAAATCATTATTAATTTTTTAACATAACTCCATCTTTACCATTTTCTTCAATCGGAGGCAGTTCTTCTTCTTCCAACTTAAAATCGGTAGGTTTTGGAACTCCTACAGAGCGTTTCACCAAAACGTATTTTTTAGATTTTACCATGTTGAGAAGTAAACCCTGACTGACATATTAAAATTTTAGTTTGATTACCATTATCCTTATCACATTTTTAGATAAGATACATCTGAAGTTTTTATATTATTTAGTTTAAAATATTTCATAAGATTTATTTTTAATGAGTATCTAGCAAACTTGTTTCCATTCCTATTTCATAACGACAGGTGACCCTCGATAAGGTGAAGTATGGATCCTATAAATAAATAGATGATTAAAATTAAAAAAATTAGATCAAATAAAGCGGATGCAATAACAAAGCCCTGTTTAACGCCTGTAGTTATTTGGGAAGGCTCTCCTTGTCCATCGTTGCTTAGAACGTTTGCTTGAATTTATATTATTATCATTCAGGAAGCAGGATCCTGCTTACTGAATGATAATAATATGAATGCAAGCAAACGTTCTGATAGTCTAACGGCCATTTGCACCGCTATAGCTTAAGGGATATTTATTCCAAGTAGAGCTTTGAATGTGACTCTTGTAGAAAGAAAAAGTCACATTCAAAGCCCGTGACACAAAAGCCTCATTCATCTGTTAGAAGGCCGTTTTTTGGTGGCCCGGTATGCCAAGTCCTGGGCCAAATAAAAAACGTATTGGTTGGCAGGTTTCGGTGTGCAGAAGCTGAGGGGTGGATGAATTTTCACTACCCCAAAATGAGGCTTTCTGCCTTATTAGTCAGAAGCTATTTTTTTGCTTTGAATCAATAATATGGACCTACTGAGGCCTGAACAGGAACGGTTGGCGGACCTTCCCCCTCTCTTCACCATGCCCACCACGTTCAAAGTCAGGTTTGCAAGGGAAGATCCTACCCCACAAGGCAGAACGACGAAAAAAAGGGGAAATTATACATTTCCACTTCCTTGTTGGTTCTGCGCTAGGTTGGCAGCCGGTTGGCGCTCTATTGTTTATTTAAATATATGTTTTTGCGAAATTGAAGGTTTCTTTTTCCCTCGCTATAGTTTAAAGAATTTGTTGGGGCTTTTACAAATTTTACATGAATAAAAAAAATAATACACACGTTTATTAACTGATAGATGCGATTTCATCCGCAGGTTAGCTGTTAAATATTTTGGGCAATTGGAGCAAAATTAATCATCAGAATTGGCTCAAATTGGACATAAACATACTTTCAGGGGCGGATAGAGTATGAAAAACTATTCAAAAACTCAAAAAATTTGGAAAAAAAAACATATTTAGATAATTTTAATAGAATTTTCCAAAAAAATTCCAAAACAAATGTTCTAGAAAAATTTTCGAAGCTGACACCATTGTTCAATTTATCGTTTTGTTTTAATTATTTTCCATTTTTTGATATTATGTAGGTATACAGGGTGATCCAATTTGATATACCTATTCAACCGTTTTGTCGCTAGAGGGCGTTTCTCGATTTTGAGCAGAAGAAGTGAAACCTTCAATAAACTAAGCTGAGAGAGAATCAGATACACAAACTTACATAGGTAGAACGTTTGGTAGACAAAAGTGGGGAGGTTACGATGCACCGCACAAAGAGGAGACGAAGAATAGGGAATTCTGATGTGGTTTTTTCTTTCTCCTTGTAGAAAATATGTATGTATGTAACCTGCGGATGAAATCGCATCTATCAGTTAATAAACGTGTGTATTATTTTTTTATTTATAAAAATTTGTCAAAATCCTCACAAATTCTTTAAACTATAGCGAGGGTAAAAACAAGTTCAATTTCGCAAAAACATATCTTCAAATAAACAATACTTAGAGCGTCAACCGGCTGCCAACCTAGTACAGAACCAACGAGGAAGTGGAAATGTATAATTTCCACTTTTTTTCGTCCTTCTGACTTGTGGGGTAGGAACTTCCCTTGCGAACCTCACTTTAAACGCGGTGGGGCATGGTGAAGAGAGGGGGAAGGTCCGCCAACCGTTCCTGTTCAGGCCTCAGTAGGTCCATAATATTTATTCAAAGCAAAAAAATATCTTCTGACTCATAAGCTAGAAAGGCTCATTTTGTGGTAGTGAAAATTCTTCCACCCTTCAGCTTCTGCACACCAAAACCCGCCAACTAATACGTTTTTTAGTTGGCCGAGGACTTGGCACACCGGGCCACCAAAAAACGGCCTTCTAATAGATGACTGAGGCTTTTGTGTCACGGGTTCTCGTAGTATAAGCAACGATGGACAAGGAGAGCCCATTTCCATGTTTTGCGCTACGTTCTACAATATCGTTCACACCAGTTCTTACGCGGATCTCATTATTCCTTACTCGGTCTTTCAAAATCAATCCAAGCATGGGTCTTTCCATTCGTCGCCAACTTTTCTGCTGATGCTTTGAACATGGTGAGAGTCAATGTTTCTACACCATAGGTTAGGCCTGAGTGTGCAGTTCTTAATGCCTCAACCAATGTTTTATTTTTACTATTTCAATTTGATGTTTATCAAGGTAGATGCTGTGGATTCATCATAGTTTTATTATTGTCATTAGACAATAGAAACTTGTTGCTATAAACAGCAATTATTGTCAAAATATATTTTATGTCATACCAATACATTATTGTGTTTTTATACCTTAGATACCATCTACATAATTCATTATTTTATGCCCGTGCGGGCATAAGGTACACATTATGGCCCGCGCGGGCATAAAGGCGCAAAAAACAGTTTTCGATTAACTTATTCTTCGTTAACAAAATATAAATTTACGTTTATATACACATTATTTTTTGTATAATTCTCAAAAAATTATGATGTTTTCACACTGATGATAATTTGCGAAGTGATACTTTTTTCCCAGGTATGGTTTTTTAACGTTTCTTCTTTGGAAGGCTTCCTATATATACAGCGTGTATATTTTATGTGATACCACTATTGCTATATCCGAAACGGTAAGAGCTACAAGGTCGGTTAAATTAGGAAAAAGTTGCCTTTTTTGATTCTCATGCGCTTTTCATCCCCTTTCCAAAAATTATATAAAAAATCAAGGTCCGTATTTAAAAAAATGAAGTTAATGTCGGATTTAAAATTTGAAGATGCCATATTGTAGAGCAAAAAAAATTATAAAACTTTCAAATTTAAATGGTGTCTCGAATATCAATAGTTTTTAAAATAATTGATGAAATAATTTTGAGCGTTTTTTGGAAATCACCCTATATTTCATAAACTAAAAAGAATTTGGCAACACTCTAAACAAATCTGGAATGGGCATCAAAAAAGGCAACTTTTTTCTAATTTAACCGACCTTGTAGCTCTCACCGTTTCGGATATAGCAATAGTGGTATCACTTAAAATATACACCCTGTATATATTTATTATTCAAAACCAACTGGTATGACATAAAAGTTTGTATGCACCATGGGTACTAATAGATATATATATACCCTCGGGCGACTTACGAACCCTCGGGCCAGAGGCGCTCGGCTTTGTAAGACTGTCGCCCTCAGAGCATAATCATCTACTTAGAACCCTTGATACATAAATAACTATTAAATCGTCACACGCATTTTCAATCATCCTCCAAACAGTTTAAAAGTAGACCATTGAATCATTTATTCCATTCACAATCAAGAAGCAATATTCATCTCATCAAATCATTCACCAACAGCGTTTCAAATATTGGCCGTTATTCAGGAAGAATACGCGTCTCATTACATTGCAAATCAATTCTGGTCTTTTGAAATTCAGCGTAAATGGCGAAAACCAATTTTTGCATGAATTATTCAAAAAAATTAAAAAAATTGACAATTCATATTTTTGGCATTTCATATTTTGACACTCCATTTCATATTGTTGAGTTTTTTGGCATCTTTGAGAACAACATAAAGAAAATTTATCAAGAACTCAACCAAAGCAATCTAGAACCGGATCCAGAATAAAGCATACGCAGTGATAAGTGGAATCAAGGCAGAAAGAACAAAATTTAGTACATCTTCTTTTGGTGAAATACTGTACCTACCTACTTACCTGTTTTATTTATTTTTCATTTTAGCATGGCAAACAAAACACGGTATTTGTAAAAGACTTATTTCAGAAAAATCTCCAGATACGAATATTTCTAATCATTCATTAAACCCCGCTATTTCACAACAAATTACAATACCAAGTTTTCATGGTTCATATGACAAATGGCTTCAATTTTCAGAGTCATTTAAAGCAATTGTTCATAATAATAGTAATATCAAAAATTTAAAAAATTTGGCATCTTAAAGGTTCTTTTAAGGGGGATGCTGAAGGCGTTATTGCACCGCTAGAAATGTCTGAAACGATTTATGATAAAGCTTGGAAATTATTATGCGATCGTTATATAAAACTGAAAGATTAATTATTCATAAACACATAAAAACCGTTATGGGACATACCAATTTTAACACAAGAATCTCAAGTTTCACTCAGAAGTCACTACCCAATACTTAAGGTCATTAGAATCACTAAAACTTCCAGTTGATCAGTGGGATACACTCCTAATTTATATTCTATCCTCCAAAATCGATCAAGTCACTGCCAGGGAATGGGAGGAGTTCTCAATTACACTTAATACAGACACTCCAATAATTCATCAATTTCTTTCATTTTTAAATAAAAGATGTAGGTACTTAGTTATTTGAAAACATGATGCGCAGAGTGCTGCTTTTCTGGTAGTAGCAATAACAGGCAAGAATAAAAACAAAATCAGATTAAAAAAAATTAAGAAATTAAATCTCTAAATTCTCCCCCAAATAGACAACATTTTTCCTTTTAAGTTAAGGTAGCCACAATAGGTACTACAAGATAAACCTGAGGGTGAAATCAATCAAATCCAAAACTTTTTAAATGAATTTTTTTTGACCTGTCTGGATTTCTATTTTAGAAAATTACACCCTTTTTCAACACTCTTCTCTTCGAGAAGATAATACTTGAAGGAGTCAAACAGAAAATGGCTATACAGGCCTCTGCCTGGATTCAATAAAGAGTTGATAGGGATGGACACACAAATTTGGCTTTCACCTAGGTACTCTATTTAGAGCAAATGATCCAATATTCCCACACTAACAATTGATTCTGAAAACCAGAGCAGCAGTACCTATTTATTAGCCCAAAAATCTGAATTGACTTACCTCAGAAAACGTGGAACCACCAATCACACAAAATGGAGGCCCACACAATAGTATATTATGATATAAGTGTATAAGAGGGCATTTAAAGCACGCGCGACATATTTCAAAACACGACGCGCAGCGGAGTGTTTTGTAAGTCGCAAGGGCTTCAAATGCCCTCTTATACACGCATATCATACGCTATTTTTTATTACGAATGCATCATAATCTCAAAAATGTTTTTGAAGTGTTCATTCATTTTGATAAGTAATAATTTAAATGGCAGGTATGCAGGTAAATATCTAGGTAATGCAGGTAGATCGAACGTTTCTATAGCAAACCTTTGAAAAGGTAGACGCATCATAAACATCATTTTATGCACACTGCAGCGTGCGATAATCGTTGATTATGATGCATGCGTAATAAAAAGTATATTATTTATTTTTCAGAAATAGATAAGATAAGATTTATCAGGTAAAAACTCAACACTGATGACAAAATAAATTGCATAATTATAAGGGAGAATCTAAAAATGTGAAGGGAAAATTATTAAAAATAAAAATGACTAGCCTGCTAGAGCACTGCCAGAGAAAGAGAACGTTTTAGAAACCAAACCCTATAGGATACCAATCTTTTGTTTTTTATACTTAACTGCGTATTAACCAGATCAACCAATTAGTATAAAAGACCATATTCACTTCACAATGGAAAACCACGTGGAAAAAAAGACAATAGATAAAAATCTACCAGAATTATTTTAATTGTTTACAAATTATAATAATTTAAATTAAGGTTATGTTCAAAACAAAAAACCACTAATTAATTAGGTCATTAGGCCAAAAATAATAGACCTATCTCCTATTACCTGGACTGCGCGCGTCGCTTGTAGACTGCAGGTGAGCGTCCAATGAGAAGCAAGTTTGTGACAGGCTTGCGTCATATTCTTATTCAGGGGCCAGTTCAGAATGAATTGTTCCTTCTTTCTTTGTAACGTGTAATTTGACAAAGAGCAAACTAATTCTTTACATATTACTTGAACTCACCGCAGTTTCGTTTAAGATTATACTTGACATATTCCTTTGCAATTTCATTGAGCGATGTTGCCGGAGGAAACATTTATCAAAATAAAAGTGCAAACGATGTTCATCCACTTTAAAACTCTTCTTTTATCTGATATAAGGCATTGTAGAAACACTTGACACTATATCACTTCTTTAATGTTATAATATTCGATTTGTATCGTCTACATTTATTCTGCAACAATACAATCTGGCTACACTGCAGCCTATGAGTTGCGCGCGCATGTCATCTTTTATTGCTTTCTAACTTGTATTTATTACAATTAAGCTCTCTTTTTCTAATCATGCGAGATAGGTCTATTATTTCAGAATCAGAAGTTAGAGAAAAAAAAAGCAATATATCTATTTGCTAAGAGTGAGATAAATATAATTTCTTCAAATAAAAATACCAATGACTGTCAATGAGAAATAATAAAAATAGCTAAGGAAAACTATCACAATTTAAAAAAAATAAATTCATTCGGTACTAGATGGCAGTACTGGTAAATTAATAATAGATATTTGAATTCTATGCTTATGATGCATAAATGGCAGTACTGATATTATCTTGAACCAATTAAATTTTCTTTTAATATTTTCAAATTACTTAAATTAGGAATTATTATTTTGCTGATTCTGAAATGGCAAAAATACAAGTTTATATTGAAAATAAGAAGAGATAGAACATGTTACGTGAATAATGAATTTATCATAACAGGATCCAAATTACCTACTATTTTCTCACAGACAACAGCGACAATTGCATCTAGAGTTAGTTCATTCATCAAAAAAGACGCAGTTTTTTTAATCACTAAAAACTTGCCAACGATTTCATTCAAATGATCACAGTTAAAAATTCTAGAAGATATTTTACTTGCAGATTCACAATTCAATAAAAGTAGTTGCATAGACATGTTAATTGGAAATTTTTTGGACTCTCATTTGTGAAGTGCAACTTGTTCTTGCTAATAATCACACTATTTTGCAAAAAACATACCTTAGCTGGATAGTTTCCGGTCCTATTCCCATATGCAATTTTTCTCAATCATTTTGCAATCTGACCATCAGCAATCAAGACATATACATATGAACAAATTGAGCGTTTCTGGAAAATAGAAGAATGTTCCGAAAATAAAATCATTCCAGAAAGTTCATTGTTAGTTTAACTTTAAAAGATAGTATAAATGAGCTCGGGGATTCATTAAATATTACCATAATAGTATATTATGATATAAGTGTATAAGAGGGAATTTAATGCACGCGCGACATATTTCAAAACACGACGTGCAGCGGAGTGTTTTGTAAGTCGCAAGGGTTGATTATGATGCATGCGTAATAGAAAAAGATTTTATTTAGTTGAAAAGAAACTCTTAAATAACCCTGAATTCAAAACACGATATTGTCAATTCATGTCTGAATATGAAAATCTGTAATGTAAATTATTTTAAGTTTAATGTAGACATCAATTAATTCGAAACACTTAAGTATTAAGATATGTAGGTACCTATGTAAATAGAAACATTCATATTTCATTACGAGAAGCCCATTTTTAATTGCAATACAGAAAGTATGACCTATTTTTCCATATTTCAATTATACGCTATTGTAGATAATATGCATTTTTTTCTTGTTTGTATCGAAACAATAATTATTCCGACTTAAAAAATTCAAACATCCCAATTAATTTTGGTACTATAAAAAGGGAAATATTGAATTTGCCTTTTTAAAATTCTGTCCGCGGTCTATTGAGAACAATGTCGAATCAAGAAAATAATCAACAGTTGATCGGTTGGTCCAAGATTGTCATGATCAACACAGGATTTTGGAAGCGGCCAATAAGCGAAAACAAAACAATACAACTATATTTCCAAGTTTATTCGATTTTGGCCAGATTCAGCTATATTTTATTTTGGATTCTTTTAATAGCTGAACTTATCCGAATGTCCTTGAACGACTATCCAGATCAGGTTAAATTTCAAGCATTTAGCGTCGTAATTAGTGCCACAAAAATTGGTACGAAAATGTTAATTTATTTAAAATATGACGTCATGGAAATGGTTAATGATATAATTGAAAAAGAAAAGGAAGTGTGGAGATCATCAAGTGAAGAAATTCATAATCTTTATCGAGCTAAAATTCGCGTTTGCAAAGCTTATGCGCTGACTTTGTGTGGAGCTACAGCTGTAACAGTAAGCTTTCTTCAAATAACAGGTGCGTCACTTAATAGGAACTTATTTCTTTTTTGTAATTAAGTATCTTGTCCTTTAGGTGCATTTGCCATGGTTGAATTAAAACACCAGAACTTAATACATAATCAGACCATCGAGCCAATCTTCATGTACTTAACAATTTTTCCAAAAGACAAACTTAGCAACCTGTATCTAACATTTAGCCTGCAAACATTATGGGCATGGCTTGGCGTTAATTTTAATACCATGACTCACCTGCTTTTTTTAACATTGCTAACCTATTCTGCTTCACAGTTGGAAATTTTGCAAGTGAAACTTAGAAACTTTATAGGACCTGATGATTTTATTGCCGATGTTAGCGATGCACAATACAATGAGAAAATATCCATTTTGAAGAACTTAATTGATGAACATAAGTATATTATCGGGTAATGAAAAAAAAAAAAAAAAACTAGGCATCATATTTGTGGAAATTTTGTTTTTCAGATTTGTTGAACATTTGAATGGTTGTACAAAGTATATCATTATGATGGAATATATTTTGAGTTCGCTGGATATAGCGTCAGTAACCCTGAACATATTAAAAGTGAGTAGGTATTCAAACAGTAAGGGAAATAATGGGTGCGTACCTTTATACACTGCAATATGTTTCCTTGTAGCTTTTTTTATTGATAAATCGAGAGAATCTCTATTATTAGAGTTAAACTTTATTCATTTTGACTTTATCTTATTTTTTACCTCTTTTTAATTAAAATTCATCCAACGTAGTCTTAAATGTGTGAGCTCAGGATAGAGGTGGGAAACTATCGAAGAATCTAACTATCGATATATCGATAGTAACGAATAAAAACTATCGATGTATCGATATAACTATCGATAAAAAAAAGGGTTTACGTTTTGTACCCAGTTTGTATTTGGGGTGTCAGCAATTGGCAGGTCAGGTCAACCCAAAATGTTAATGTTAATGAACTCCAACTACAGTGTGCATATGAAGGTCTGAGATAAATGCCCTACCCCTACGGCCTACGCCCTACAATACAACGAGACCTAGAGAAAAAAATACCCAAATGAAAGTTAATATTGTGGATAACAATGTTCAATTACACGCATAACCAATCTTCATCTTTTTTAATTTTGATTTCAACTACCATACCATCAAAATCAAAATAAAAAACATCAAGGTTGTTTGAGAGATGGTAGGCTGCCTGATAACTTTTATGGCATCATTTGGGTCCTGGGGTGCCTCAACATAATTCCAAATCTCCACAACGCACTCCAGACCAGATGACATCATCAAGTTACCCATTATCAGACAACCTATTAACTTTAGGAGCCTTAATAAGAGATGAAATGTATGATATTTCTTGATACTGGACATTGCTGACATCAGAAAAGACAGGAGAACTGCTATCGATTGTCCAAGTAGAACTACCTATCGATATTTCGATAGTGTAGCAAACTATCGATATATCGATAATTACTATCGATAGTTTCCAACCTCTAGCAGGATTTTTAAAAAATCAACAAAGAAATCTAAATTGAAGAAAGCAAAACAATATAGTCATACAGATTCAATAATTTCTATCTAAATTGTAATTAACTGATGAAATTCTTTCTAATATTTTATTTCAGATGGAGTTATCACAATCAGAAATAGCATGGCGATTTTTCTTTTTAACACTACTCTGCGCTCAAATATTTATATTAAGCTGGACTTGCAACGAAGTTAAGGTTCAAGTATGCAATCTTTGTTTTCTTCAGCGCTGCCACCTCTACCGATTTATCGGTAGACCTACCGATTTTGAAATGAGTCTACCGATCTCCTGATTTTAAACCATTTTCTCACGATTTTTCTGCAATTTGTCGGTAATGCAACAAATATGTAGATATATATTTTATTTAAAATAAAAAATAAAATTATTTCTCATTCCGCAAGAAAATCTAAAAACTAATGACATCTGACATCGTGTCTCCTATGTCACGTCACTGATGATCACTTATGAAATTGCTATTGAAATTGAATGTCGCTACAAATTATAGGCAATTTTTCGCAAGGATAACCAAGCATACTCGATGTTATGAGTCAATTGTGTTATACTCCCCCTCAATGTACTCCCCTAACTCCCCCACTATCAAATTCTGGGATACTCGAGGATCAAGAACACTTAACTTCTTCTGTGGGAACTGTGGGAAAATCACCTTTTCTACATTTAGAATCGACGAAAGAATTAACTCACTAACTAGCACAGCCTAAATCTGCATTCCATCGCGGTCTGCAGGTGACGTCATCACTATTAGCTGCTGGTAGTGACGTCACTCGTAGGCCAGGAATTGGATGGTGAGAGAGTTAGGGGAGTATGACACTATGACACAACTGACACCTAACATCTGAGCATAATCAGTGTTTGATTATGCTCGCGAAAAATCGAAATAGGAATCACATTGCATAATAAAATTATGACTAAATTTATTGACTGGTTTTATATAATTAAGCAAATTGTGGCGGAATGACGTCATATGACTCAACCGCCTAGCTACCGATTTTTAAACGAAAACTACCGATTATTTCTCCAAGCATCTATCGACTTCATTCCATCAGAAGTGGCAGCACTGGTTTTCTTATTAGTAAATTATAGTATGAATGAAAATATTATATCAAATAAATAACTAGGTACCTACGTGTCAAATAGGATACCTATCAAATCTGAAAAAGTTAAATTAATCTCAGCACATGCTGAGATGAAACATATTACTTATATACATGGATCAAACTATAATGTTACTTATAAAGCCACAGCTACAGTTTTAATGTTAACAAAAATCTAGTAACCATGGATTTTAATTTCAATTTTCACCAAGTATCGACTCAATCAATGCAAAATCTGTATTGTTTTAAGAGTGCAGCTGTTGCAGACGCTTTATATGATAGCAGATGGTATCTGCTTAATAAAGAAGGAAAGCAATTGGTCCAGATAATGATAGCAAGAGCTCAAAAACCATTAACTTTGACTATTGGAAACTTTGGACCAATGACAAATAATTCCGCGGTTGTGGTAAGAAGTTAAATCTCAATTTTAAATTTTAAATAAATTATTTCAGGTTGTAAAAGCTGCTTACTCATATGTAAGCCTGTTCAGTTAAAAATTATGGCATCGAAACGAATATTATTTCTTTAATAAGTTGAAATGCACAGACACTTTTGTAGTTTAAACTTGTTAGCACATTAGATTTATCAAAAACAAAATAATACAAAAATAGCAATTACAGTGCACAATAAATTAAGTATACTTAGATAATATAACTGAAGAAAAACATAAGTATCTACAGGATTCTCTAGTAATAAATATATAATCACCAATCTTGAAATTTCTTTGTAATTTTATATATTTTTTATTTTATTGATAGTGCATCTTTGTTGAAGGGCATTTTCATCCAGGCAGCAAGAATTTGTGAAAGTACAAATTCTTTCCATTTCTCGTGTTGGGCAGTAGAAACGAGAAGCTTATCTTCCGACGCACTCTTGATTCTTTGAATTTCTGGAAGTTTATCGTCATTGTCACAGGCACAAGGCTTTCTTTTGGTTGTTTTCCATTCCGAAACAAGTTCGTTATTTTGAAAATTTTACAGTGAAGTTCTGGTATCACTAAAATACGAGTCGGGGTGCCAACGAGATGAATAATATCTATCACAAAATCTGCTATTTCAACGGTTTCAAGACTTCGCAACGCATATAGGAAACAGTATTCAGAATAAGCATTGGTTATATGTAAGCAGAACTTCAGAAAAATACAGTGTCGGACTGGGGGTCATTTGGCCCACCGGGCAAATGGTGAATTGGCCCACCCAACCCAAACCCCATTCAATAAAAACATTTTGATAATCATTTGTTGAATTTGGTACCTAGTTATGGTATAGGCATAAAAAAATAGGTATAAAAAAATAGCTTGATACTTAAGGCTTACTGCAGATAGGTACCTATGCTTATATGTTTTCTTGTTATTTACCAAAAATTAGATCAGTTGTTGGCTGGATGCTGTAGCTTCTAATAATTGTCGTTTTCTCGCGATCTCTCTTTTTTCTGTACCCGTTTTATACTCCTATGGGTGAATGTATTTATTGTAATTCTTATTTTATATTATGTTAATATATTGATGATTGTTTGGAATTTTTGCAAATAATCCATAACGACCTTAACCCTGAAAAATGAAAATCAAACTTACTTCTCGTTTTTATTCTCATCGGTGACTTCACCAATGAGTTAGCTATCTTTGTTTAGTGAATGGAAAATGACAATGACGGCCATAGAATGGTGGATCCATCGGTAAAATTTGATGAGAATAAAAACGCAGGGTTCGATTTGGTTGTGACGAGAGATTTACTGACTATGATATTAGGCCCTTTCGGAAACACTGATCCGATTAACCCGATCACCAGCTGTTTATTATATTTTATCTTCCTTCAATGAATACGATTGAAAAAAGACAAAGGATATCAGCTGGTGATCCGGTTAATCGGATCAGCATTTAGCATTTCCGAAAAGGCCTACTGTTGGTCAGAGTCATGTGATGTCACTTTTCGCGCGCGTTTTGAATAGACTCGTTTTATCGGCTGATTCAATGTTTTTTTTTTTTTTTTCTAATTGAATAACAAACGGTAGATCAAATTATTGTTACATACTTTGATATTGTATTCAGGCATTTTGAAAACCCAATAAAAAAGAAAGACGGGACGGCCCAATTGACATTAGTATACTGTCAAATTTTCAAAAAATTTCTGCAAACAGTTTTTAATATATAGATCGATTTGTTTCCCGGTGGGGGTGGGACTGTCCCACACCCTGTATAACTTCCTCTTTTTTACCTTTCCGTTCGCGGACATCTAGGGTGTATAATAATAAAAAAAATAATAACAGCGAGGGAGATGGGGGTCGAGATTTAATTTAAATGATAAAGTTAGAACCAACTAAGACCTGACGTCATTACTGACGAAGAAGGTAAATTCCCTTTTCTCTAGTGAGACATTTCAAGTGAGACAAAAGATCATGCGGCCTTATGAGGATAAGCCATCCTGTAGTAGTAGTGCAAATCATCCTTGGACCTATAGTAAGGCCATTTAAAATTTTGAGGTTAGAGGGTGGCTGCCGTTGGAGGGGTGGTTCGGGGAGAGCTGAAAAGTCCCTTGTTTTGCTTCCCTCTTCTAACCCTCCAAACGGGCTTCTCTTTTTCTTTATCTATTACCGTTTTCAAGATATAGGCCAATAGACACTTTAAGCAAATTCAAAATTTTTCAACGTATCCGTATCCGCATCCGTAAACGCATCGACTTACGTTGACCGCGTAAAAGTCCTTTTAAGCATGGCCATACATTACGTAAACGATTATTTGCTAACCTCAAAAAGTGTTGTATTGATTTTGTAGCTGTGTTCGTAGGTT